ATGCGAATGAAGTCGCAGGGGAACAGATAGTATCAAATATTATAAAGGCACAATGGTATTAATAAAATCACAACAATATTCTTTCTTCAATAGACTGCTAAGTACTTATGTATATATAGTAATATTTATTGCTAAAAATATTGAGTTATTAGGATGAAACGAAAATCATTATAATCATTTTACTTAGAGTTATTTTGATTAGGTACAGAATGTCTAGTGTTACCTTAATATTAAATACTGTTCGACATACTCGAACTTGTCATATAATTAAATAATTAGGGCAAAATCTTTTAAAAACTATACCTTATTTTAAAAACCAAAATTCTATTTGTTTTGTTCAATAAACCCACGTTTTCACAGTGTACTTAATCTGACGGAATAAAGTTATTGAAATGTAAGATAGAGTTACTTAAATGTCTACTTAAGGCTTTATTAAGTTTTTACGACATAACTTATGGTGAACACAGCAACACTAATTACGATATAAATGCTTGTATCATTTTTTCTGCGTACTTTTTCACTTAAGTATCTGAACACAAGACAGCGACAGCTTGTGGTGTTTTAATTATAAAAGTCAACCATCCGCATAGTACAACTCACGTAGCGAATTTAGTAAATATGGTGATATCATAAATTTTAATTTTAGGCCCGAATGGAAGAAAGTGAACTAGACAAATTTTAGATTTTGTGACTGAATGGCCACTGTTTGCCTCGAGGCATTTACAGATTCACCGGGCTTGAGGTGGCCGAGCGCAGATGGCGCTTAGCTTAAACCTCGTTTATGAGCAAGCTCGAGGGCTCCGTCAGGAGTTTCTTAAGGAGTTACTTCGTTATTATTACCGGATTGGAAATTTTCGAGGGATATTAAATTATGTCATTCTTTATGCTTACTAAATAAAACTAATAAGATTGAAAACAATCCAATTACTAGTATAACTTCAATTAAGTAAGAACAGCGTTAAATTGTAATAAACGAAATTATTTAAAGAATATACTTTTACCCTAAGTTACTTGTTCTAAAATAGACCGCAAATTTATCAAGGGTTATAACCTCTAAATTGAGTTTAGTATCCTACTGATAAGATAGTGTTCCACGAACGTGCGTTTAATTTAATAATCTTTTTGGAACAATATTTTTGATCCGCCTCCGTTATACAGATATTAAAAGCGAATACCAACATCTAAGTAATAATCAACAGATTCGCTAATCAGTTATTAATGAGTATCTTTTTTTAACATTAAGATGTTTTTTTAGGTCATGAGGCTACGAGATGATAATGGATTGTTGTTACCACTTGATATATTGTACCAAATAAAAAACTTGATAATGTTACAGTGCAAAGGTTACCGTAACATCAGATTGTCAAACCTAAACGCGAGCTTCTTTTAATGTCAATTGTAATAAAAAATTACATACTTATATTTCATAAGTCAAGTAATTATAAAGGTGATTTACAGGCAGATGATGCTATAAGGGCAATGGGAATGCTTTTATAGATCTTAACGAACAGTGGCGGAAATCCATGGTGTTCAGGAAAAATTTCCTTGTTCCCAACAAACTCCGTCACTTCTATCAAATAACTAATTAGTTAGCTGTGGTGTAAACGAAGGGACTATAATAAAAAGAAAATAACCATGTAACACAAACCAACTTTTTTTTCGTACACACATTTATAAGCTGAGTTGTATTGATTTTCAAACGATTAAAGCTCTTGAGATGAAACACGGCTATTTTCCCCGAATTTACATATGTAATAATAACTTTAGGCAGAGACATCGTCCACGCGGAATTAAAAAAAAAACACTTAGTAAGCAACCTATGTGTTATTCCAGACTACATCTGTTCCAAATTTCATAGAGATCCATTAGCCATTTTGGATATATGTATATATGTAATATCAATCCATACAAACTTCGCATAGTTAATATTAGTACATATAAGGTATTAGAAAAGGTGAAATTTTACTGAGCTTTTATAGGAAAATAAAAGTTAAATGGCTGTTCTTAATCAGTACTTTATACATTTAACTGCGGTACGTAGAGACGTTTTTCATTTGAAGATTTTATTTGCCAAATCGTAAGAGATTGTTAAAGTATGAGTAAAAAGGATTTAACCTTATAAGGTAAATGCCCAAGATCCTAACGATTTGTTAGTTTTAAATTGGGTAATTTGAGGTTAATAATTGAAGTAGTATAGTGATATTTCACAACTGACGATAAGTCAGCGGCGTCGTGTGACGTACCCTTGAAATTATCACACAGATTTTAATATTAAGTTTATAATTGGACGATATTAACGCAGTAGTTTTATATTTTTGATAGCCTTTGTGTCCAATTATCTTATCGCCACAATTTTAACTTAAGAGTTATCAAAAGTCATTTTTAATGAACACTGAAAACATACACCGAAATTGCCATATCAAAAATCCGGATAATGTACATTACTAAATAAAACAAACATTGTAACAACTAATATAACGCATTATTATTAATTGTTACTAAGGACATTTTGAAATGTACTAGGTAGGTAGGTTTTGTGTTTTGATGTTGTATGTTCAATTTTATGCGTAACCTTATCCCTTATGGGTTTTAACCCATCTTAATATATGTAATACACAAACAATACTATGATTTATATTTAAGCAAAATACTTTTATGTGACTCGTGTAAAGAGGCGATTTAAAAGAAAGAGATATTTGTCAAGATAATTTTCATTGCAATACTTTTAGAATAGTTAAATATAATCTACAATTTTCTCAATCTCAGAAATGGACTATATTCTACATTTGTTTCGAACTAAAAGATCCGTTAAGCCATTTTGGAGTTTCGTCGTAGTAACATCCATTCAAACTTTTGCCTTTATAAAAACTTTAACTTTAGATCAATGCATGATTTTTATGACTGATTGTTCTTGACGACATTTAGGAAAATCTGATTTTATAAAGAACTCCGAAATCGCCAAATCGTATGAAGCAGTAAACTTTAGTATCCTAAAGTACAGGATTTTAGACTGAAATGTAGAGATAGGCTGATTGGCATCTAACTTGTATAAAGTAATAGTTATCCCTTTGAAACAGAGTTAACAATGAGATTGTGGAGATGTTTTGAAAGTTATCGTTGTTGGGATGACTTAATTAACTTGCGTTAACTTAAGTGTTATTTGTACTTGTATATGTATGTAAGTTTTATGAAGCGCTAATTATCGTTTTGGTGTCGCTACATAGATTTTCGTTGTGAAAAGCCTATTCAGTTTACAGAATGCCTCAGTCAATAATAATAATTGTAAATAATCCCTCCTTAAACTATTGTAAAAAAACCTATGAATAAATGATATAAACGCAAGATTTGATTTGTGGCTCGTTATTAACCAAAATTATTGTGTATATTGAGTACGGATTATAGATTTCATTTTATCGGAAGACTAATCATTTCAATTATAATATTTATTAAATATTCTAATGTATAAGTCTAGGTTTAAATAGATTTGTCCGCATTCCATAGAAATTCAACGATCACTAGTATAATTCATATTTTAGGCCTGCTCTTGCATCCGCTTTGGCGGATATGCGTAGGCATTATGTATTTATCAAAAAGGCAATGAAAACTTAATATTTTAAAAGGCGCACTTTCCAGTAAACCCGAAACATGTGTCTTAAACAACGTAAACAAATTATAAAATGTAAATAGTTCTTTCATTACTGAAAGAACTATTTTAATTTACATTAGAAAATTCAGCCACTAGAAATGTCATCTGTTCTTCATATTATCTTCAACTAGCTGTGCCCGTGCGACTTCATCCGCATGAAATTATAAAAAAATATTTTGTTGTTTACATCTGTCAAATTATCAATTACAAATGTCAAAATTATATGACATGATGACAACCTAGCCTCCTTAATGTTGGCAGCAACTTATGGTCTCTTTCCCACATTAGGGTTTTTATTCAAAATATTGACCCCCTAAGTTTAATGGCGTGATGATATATAGCCCAAAGCGTGACGTAAGTGTAGGGCTTTTTATTAAAAACAGAATTATTCAAAAATATGCTGTAATTGCTGACATCTTAGGCAACAAAGAAGTGTGTGTTTACGCTGTATTGTAATAGTGTAGAAGTATAGATTAGGCAAGTTATAGACGTATAAAAAATATCACCCTTTGTTACAAAACTATGACTTTGAACTTTGTTGCCAATTATGTGAAAATACATTCCACTTAATTTTTTAAATTAGCATAGCTCCGTACTGTTAATTTCTGTACCAGAATTTAAAAAAAAATGTGGCTCGCGTAATTTTTAAAAGTAAACAAAAGGGAGCTAAATTACTTTTACTAGTACTATAGATATTAAGTGCCTTAATTCACATTTACAATTTAAATACAAGTTTTAGGGTTAATACAAATTTGGTAAAAAGGCTTTATGAACATTTGTTTATGAAATCGTCGATCGAATTATCGTTACCCAGCGACATCAGCAATAACCTAATGAGTTGGATATTCCACATATGTTGTTCCGCAATGTATAGAGCAGGGGATGAACAGTTATAACGTATAATACTTTTCAATCACATATCACACTTTTTCTTATTAGAAAAGTGTCGGGGAGGGGGTAGCGGATTGTAATCGACAGTAGTAATAAGATATACTGAAACCTTAAGGTTACTTATAAGTCAATTTTGACATTAATTTATGTTTAAAGTTTTACGTTTTATGTCAATTAATTTTAAAACCTTTCTCACTAGCGATATGTTTTTAATGTAGTTTAAGTTACGATGTGTTATGATAGAGCTTTAACGTAATGATAACAAAAAAAAGTTTGGTATCCCGTACAAATTCCAATGGTTTAAAAATCAAATCTATAGTATCTTGCCTTTTGTAATGTAACCTGAAAAATTTACAAACAAATCAGAGATCGGTCAAATGTAGCACGCGTTGATGTCTTTTATAGTAAATTGGATGGGTTCTCAAATTGACCGTTTCATATGTTGTTATTATGTTGTACTCACGGCTGAGGCCTCCTGTGGGATCCAGTGCAGCAGCAGGACAACGGTGACAAGAAGGTGAAGCACTTTGGTGCGCGCACGCGCCGGACCCGACATGGCTGCGCCGCGCTACTGGTGGCGGCGCGCGCTGCCGGCCGCCGCGAGGGTGGCGCGGGGGCAGCGCGGGTTGGCGCGGGGCGGCATGCGGCGGGCGGGGCGGGGCGCGCAGGCCGTCGCTGGCCGCTTCTCGCTCCTTAGTATCCCGGCACAAACGGCGCGCGCGCACGGGACATACGCGCAGCGCGCTCCGTGCCATGGCGCTCCACGTACTTTGGTAAGATTTTGCACTTTAATTAATTTATTTCTTTTCTTTTAATTATAAACATTTTTCTTTTATATTATTGTGGACACACAAGAATAAATAGTAATGCGTGTATTTATAGTTATTTATTATATGGTATATAAATACTAGATTTATATTTTAATAATTATCTGAAAATTCACAATCGAGTGGCCTGATTTTCATACCTTTCTATCAGGTTGGTAGCTGTATTGGCGCCCTTAACGGGAGTAATAACGGTGAGTCACATTTATTTTTTTCTAATCTAGACTAAAATCATTCTGAAATTAAGTCAATAATAAGCAAAAACTGCGCGGTATCGGCGAATGGCGAGCGACGCGGGCGCGCCCCGACTCGCCGGTTCTCTTGATTTCTTTCTTTTGGAATTTCTTCAAAACGCGAACTAACTATATCAAGACGTTGATGGACACTAAAATTAAACGAGTTAAAGATAAGTGAAATTTTGAATGAATGAGCTTTTTAACCAACTTCCAGAAGGAGAAGATTTTTAATTTGTCTGTATGTCTTTTTTAAATTTAACTTTTGGTTTTGCAAAGAGGAAAATTGTATATTTTACTCTATCGAGTCCTTTTGTTCTCTTGGTACGATATTATTTCTTATATGTAAATTATTTGTTAGCGCGATGTGGACACCGACAAAGTTTATCATCGGATGCAGTGCCCCCACATTGCGCAAACTGCGCGCCGACCTCTCAAATATATATTTTTTAAATTTAATTATAAAGAAAGTTCATTCTGTCACGTCTATTTAATGTTTAAATTCTTGATATGCATTTTCATTTATTTTTTAAAAGTCATTTTCTTTTTAGAAAGATTATTTAGGACAATTAACAACTTAACGAAAGCTCTTTTATTTTTTTTACTGCCAGAATTGGAGAATAATTTTTATGCTCAATAAAAACGGGGCAGTATTTAAGTGGAAATTTCCAAAAAAACCTGCACCTTTTGGACCTTTGGACCTGGACATGTTGAAAACCAAACGATAATATTACAACGACGAAATAAAGTTTTACTTCAGTATTTTGTACATTTGGATAACATTATTTTTCATCTATGTTTCTATCAGAATGTTGTTGACGCTTTAATTTATATTAATAAGTATTATTTATTCTATAATATGTAATTTTTTACTTGCTTGTACATTTCTATCCGATGTTGCAGGTAAAATATCAAGATTTATACATGGCAATTTTAAGATAGTGAAAATGTTTATGAAAACATATCGAATATTAATAAAAACGTAGAACAATCTATGAAATAACATTTTTTTAATGTTATTTAATAGATTTTAAGTATAAGTTTTTAAGTTTTAATGTTATTTTAGTTATCACTTAAAGGCAAACTACCCTAAAGAATGGCGCTCGCCAAATTAGTAAATTTAGTAAAAGGAAGTAGATTTTTTAACGTTAGTTTAATCATATAAAAATAAATAAAACTTATATCATTGCAATCATTATCTTTTTGTGAAGTCCAACTTTAATAATGATATTTTAAATAATAAACGATGACTTGATTAACATTGTGGTTCAATAAATTTAGATACGCCTGATAACCTCAAAATAAATGATAATTTTGTCCAATTCCCAGTATAGTTATTTCGGTTCAAGACGTTAAAATTGTAGATACCTATTAGTACTGTAATCCAGTGATTTCTTTTATAAATATAAAAACCAATATTAGGAAACATTTTTAAAAAAATATACCAAAACCACCACTTATAATTTTTGCATCACTTATTAGTAGATACTTAACAACTAAAAGACAAAAAGCAAAGTATTACTTGTACGTTACGAAACTACGGTGTCATCTTACAAGTAAATCGCAAATGTAGAGATATGTGGCATATCATATTTTGCTTGTCATACCTAACAATATTGTACAATAGATTTCTGCGAATTGCGCATAAATAATATTATGTGCGATGAGTTCTATTAGGTTCTATTAGGTACACATAAAGATCTCAAATAATCATCGTTTGATGCCAACTAATGAAGATAGGCTATCACGGCAACTTGGACTTTTGTCGCGACAAGGGTTTGAAATGTCGTTACGTTTGTCTGTAGTTTCTACTGTCGATAAATATTATTACCTACATTATTATGTTCCGACAACAAAATGGTCAACGACAAACAAAGCAAGTATTTCGGCAGTGAAACACGACGAGATATACAGGGATAGGTACCTATGTAGTCTTTTTTTACTAAGTACAAAGCACACAAACCATGTAGGTAACAAGTGTAATAACAAACAATTAAATCTTTCAGCCAACTTGCAAAAAACTTTTACAAAAATGTGTATCTAAAGCTAAACGTTATAAAGCATTATGAAAACCAAGGATTTTGTTGCAAATTACATCAAAATTCGTTGCGTAATTTTAAGGATATAAGCATACAAAGAGGCAGACATACAGAGGGAAACTAGTTTATTTTATACTATCTAGTGATTCAGAATACATGTTTTCTTGCAGCAAGATGATGGTTGGATGGACGTTAACGATATAAATGCAAGCCGTTGGCCGCCGACCGACTTGTACGGTGAGCGAAACCCACCACCGCCTCCCTCGCCGACGGATTGGTACGGTGAGCGAAACCCACCGCCGCCACCCTCACCGACGGATTGGTACGGTGCGCGCAATGATCCACGCAATGACCAGCGCCCTGAACTTTCTGCGCCCACAAGATATTACGGACTGTCAGGGCGGCCCGACGTTCCCGCGCCGCGCCCTCCGCCCAGTCCCGGCCTTAACTTCGCAGTGTACGACCCCGTAACGCGGCAGCGCACTACCGCTGTCGACCGCAATTGTACGGCTCCCGGTTGCTGTGTACCAAAGTGTTTCGCTGAAAAAGGATCGAGAGTAAGTGACATGTTTGTCATATTATAAGCTTAACGTTATATATTATCATTAACGTTACATTATATTAAAAAAATCATAAATATAGTAACTATACTGTCTAGGCAGGTACTACTTTTTATGTGTTAGCATGGAAGTTAACCTTTCTATTTTATGCCTTTTTATAGTTTTACTTGTAATATTCCCTTGTTAATGTCTTAATATTTCTTTTAGGGTTTTCCGGGTGCACCAGGTCCACCAGGTATAATAGGTCTACCTGGTCACGAGGGCGCTGAAGGCCCGCAAGGACCAAAGGGACAAAAAGGCCAGTTAGGTCCTCAGGGTCCTCGAGGCCCAAAAGGTGATAGGGGTAAACCAGGAGCTCAAGGTTTTATTGGTCTCACCGGACCGCCAGGACCACAAGGTGAAACTGGAATCCCTGGTATACCAGGAAGAGATGGCTGTAATGGAACAGATGTAAGTCCTTAAGTTTTTTCATAACTAATATGAAATACATCACAAATACAATATCTTTACTATGATTTAAAATTAGGGTGAACCCGGAGAACCAGGGCCCAAGGGTATACAAGGGCCCCGTGGTATAGCAGGATTTAAGGGAGATAAAGGAGACAAGGGAGAAGCAGCTCATATGGGTCGATATCCCAAAGGACAAAAAGGAGAACCTGGAGCTGATGGTATGCAAGGTAGCCAAGGACCTGTCGGACCACCAGGACCTTCCGGTTTACAAGGGCCAAAAGGAAATACTGGACCAATGGTAGGTCATAATTACGTGAATCAACTGTTTTTTTATCATGCTTAATAATTTCCCATTCTTCATACTATAAATACTTAATATTTATCATACCTGAAACTGTCTTAACTATCTTTCTAATCTTACTAGTTACTATATTAAATAGGTAAGTTTGAATGGATGTTTGTTACTATGTATCTCCAAAATGGCTTAATAGACCTCGATGAAGTTTAACGTAGTCTGTAAGATTACATAAGCTATTTACTAAGTTTTATTTAATTCCACGCAGAGAAAGTCGAGCGCATAAGTAATAAAAAATATATGCGTGTTTTTGAATACATATATTATCATAGTGTGTATTTAAAAATGTTTTATTAAATGTGTTACTTTACCTTTGTTAGGGACCTCAAGGCTTTAAAGGAGATAAAGGAAGTAAAGGTTCAAGGGGTCAATCGATTCAAGGAGACAAGGGAGACAGGGGGGATAGAGGCGACAAAGGGCCAAGTTGTCCTCCTATTGTATTGCCTTGGGACGGTGATAATAAAAGCACGTTAAGAGGAATTCCAGGTGATATGGGACCAAAAGGAGAAAAGGGGGAACCCGGAAAATTTGGCGAGAAGGGAGATACTGGTCCTGTAGGTGAACCTGGTTTATCAGGACAAATGGGAATTAAAGGAGAGAAAGGCATTAGAGGAAATCCCGGAGCTATAGTAAGTTTTACTTTCTGTTGTATTACACAATTTCCTCAATAAGTCGAACCCAGACCTAAAAATTACTTCACACACATTCAAATTTAATATAAAATACATATAAAACAGTAAATAGACAGCTTTAACAATGGTGTTATGCCACGCTACTTAGACTATTGATGGGCGGATAGATGTGTACGGAGAAGCAATATTTTTCTTTCTTAAGAAAAACTTTAAAAAAGTAATTTTCAGTGTGAGTAATATAGTAGCTGTTCGGGACAATGGAAATATGTGACTTATAGTAAATTCGTAAAATTTGCTTTATTAAATAATCAAACCTTTCAGGGCAGAGATGGTATGTATGGTGCTCCTGGACCAATGGGACAAAAGGGAGACCGGGGAAATGATGGACTTGCAGGTTTACATGGACTGCCGGGTGCGAAGGGAGAACCTGGAAGGGATGGGTTTCCAGGACAAAGAGGTCTTAAGGGTGTACAGGGTTTACCTGGTGGCCGCACTGGGTCCCGCGGCCCACCAGGTCCTATAGGACCTAGAGGTTATATAGGATCACCGGGACCGAAAGGTACAGACGGCAGACCTGGCGAACGGGGAGAACCAGGTCCAATTGGATCTCCAGGTGGTCAAGGAGAACCGGGAACACCAGGCATAGAAGGACCTGCTGGTCGTAAGGGAGAAAAAGGAGAACCTGGTCTAGATGGTCGTCAAGGAGAAGTTGGTGTTAGAGGTTATGATGGGCCTGTTGGGCCACAAGGACCAAGAGGATTTAAAGGCGAAGATGGTGTCTCGATCCCTGTAAGCAATAATTTTACATATATTAATATTTTTTGGTTACAAGTACAATTACACGTATTAAAGCGACTAGCATGTAAACATAAAAACTGTAAATTCTTCTTGATGCGCAAGTTGAGTTGAGCTGCAATCACTTTGAGGACGTTTAAAAGTTAAATGATTCTCAATGGTAGGATGTTTTTGATTTCAGCTCAGACAACAAAGGAAAGTTTTTGAAAAGAATTAAACGTTCCACACATGTTTTTTAAAGTTTCTTTTAGTTTAAGCAAATAGCAATTATATTTAAATTTGCCATTTACTTTTTGCCAGGGTGAAAAAGGTTTGAGTGGTCGCCCCGGAACACCTGGAGAAAGAGGACAAAAGGGTGAACGTGGTTATCCAGGATTACGTGGTGTACCCGGAAATTCAACATTGGGAACACCTGGAAGCCCAGGAGAAATGGGTGCTCCGGGAGAGAAGGGAGATAAAGGTACTCCTGGCATTGATGGTATACCTGGGAGTACTGGACCTAAAGGTGACATAGGAGGCCGTTGTAATGAATGTTGGCCTGGCAGTCAGGGTCCAAAAGGTGATCGTGGTGCGGACGGATTACCAGGCGAAAGAGGTGAAAGAGGACCTTCAGGTACAGTGGGCTTATCGGGCGAACGTGGTGCAGACGGGTTAAATGGATTACCCGGTTCACCAGGTGCTCCGGTACGTATTACTTTATATATTATCAACATTTCAAAGAAATTTGTAAATTGTGGTCCAAAAATATTACTTTAGCTTAAGTAATATCACTAAGACGGTCGTAAAACTTGTCCATATATTATGGATCTGATTGGTGGGCTACCAAATTTGGATGAAGTGTGATTATCTGTGGCTAAGATAAATATGTTAATACGGATTTGTTACAAGAAGGGTCACATTGATATAAGTAGCTCGCTCTAAAATCTTCGCACGAATGGGTCGGTTCGCCCGGTGCAATACCACGACCAAACAGAAGGCATGAAGAATGAACTCGGCATTTACGCTCTTCTTCTGATGATCGTGCGTGCCGGGGGCATAATTTTAGTCCCTTTCGCTTTCCACCATTTTTTAAGACGGAAAGCAGGGAAACGGAATGTGGATTTGAGGGTGGAGGAGCCGCATAAGAAAGGGAAATATCCTCTTAATCTGCGTCTCCGCCTCCGTCGATTTAGAGTAGGCAATTGAATAGAGATATGATAAGTATAAAAATAATAAAGAACAAGATTGAATGTAACAATACAATTAATTTGAACAAGATTGTATGAAGGAAAATATGCGTAAGAAGATAATGAATTTAGATACGTGGGTACTTGTAAGAAATTTCTGGATGATTACTATTTTTTAATTTTATGTTGGTGTAATAGGGCGAACGCGGTGACGAGGGGCCAATGGGTCCACCTGGAGACAAAGGTGCCGATGCTATTATACCATCAAGCTTGATAAAGGGGCCACCTGGAGAAAAAGGAATACAGGGTCCGAGAGGCCCACCAGGACCAAAGGGCGAAAGAGGAAGCGATGGCTTTAAAGGTGATCGTGGACAGATTGGCATGCCTGGGCTTAAGGGAGATCAAGGTTTCATAGGACCGTCTGGAGCAGACGGTATTCCTGGAATTCCTGGCACCCCTGGAGTACCTGGTGTCAAAGGTGCTTCAGTTAAAGGAGAAAAAGGAACTCCTGGTGATGTGGGTCAAAAAGGTGACAAAGGATTCCCTGGACTCTTTGGAAAGAAAGGAGAACCAGGATTGTGTCCGGCAAATCTATTAGATTTAACCAAAGGCGACAGAGGAGCGCAAGGGCCACCAGGACCTCAAGGATTACCAGGTAACTGAACTGATTGTAATCTATTCATTAAATCATCCTTAAAACAAGGTAGTTACTAGACATTATTAAAAATACTTGACATGTGACTGGTGGACCGATATTGATAGGACTTTGACTGGAAAGTAACTAATACACGCGGATATATTAAGAGCAACCTTTGGTTTCTTTTGTTAAATTCGTTTGTTTCCAAAAAATTATACTATGATTACATAAGTCATTCCCGCCAAACCAGTAACGTGGTTTGTAAGCGTCGCAGCTTTTATACATTTATATAGAATAGCATGCAAAATTACAGAGAAATAAAGAAAACATATGTACTCGTATATGTGAGAAGTAAATGCAATAAAAAAACCTTAACTATAATCAAAACATCCTACTACAAATATTTATCTTAATCTATACTAATATTACAAAGAGGAAAGATTTGTATTTTTGTATGTATTGAAATAACTCAAAAACTACTGGGCCGATTTTAAAAATTCTTTCACCATCAAAATAATATTTTATTATTACTAATGTTTAGGAACTGTTAATAAACAGCGTGTTTCTGGACGCCGGCGTTAAAAAATTACTAAACTTTAACTTTTCTCGGCTCACGCTGCCTAAACCGTTAGAGGTATATAAAAATGATGTAAAAAAGAAATGTAGACCTCAAAAAGTTCTACAGAAAAGTCCGACAGCATATGTCTATTTTTAACAGTTTTCTTACAATAACCGCTTTTTTGTTTACAAAATGAATTCAGAACCGCATGCTATTTGCGGTGTACTTTTATTGGTTACAATATTAATCCTTATCCAAATAAATGCGTTTGTTATCAGGAAAATTTAATGTAGAATCAAATAGTCCTTAACAGTATTTAAATTGGACTAATAGTTAGAAGATATCGCGAACACAAACAATAAGGGTAACCAAAAAATCGGCTTAAAAGCTGCCGGGCTTAGAAATTTGGAATCTTGCATCGGTGGATTTCTGTTATTTCCTAGATTACTACTAAGTTAATACTTTTGGTAATAGTTTGAAAAAAAGAGCTAAGTCGCTTGCAAAAGCCAGTAGTATTTATAATAGTACCAAATCTCTTAGTTTCCTCTTTAGGGAGGCTCTGCTGATTGCTGTTGTGTTAGTTACTGACTGACTTCGCGCGGAGTTTTCCTGCCGCTAAGTTTAAAGCGCTAAGTTTGTGGTGACAGCTCGTTTAAGTAAAGTGCTTGTCTACCAGTCTGACATTTCTAAGTGTCAATACTCAACACTCAGGCATCGCGTTGTGACGCATTTACTCATTTTGATTAAAAAAAATATCATTATTATACACTAGTACACAATTCACTATTATACACTTTATTAACCATAGCTGGTGCCTGCGACTACGTCTTCGTGGAGTTTAAAAGATCAAAACTTATGTTCGCCGCCTTTTTGAACCTAAAGTATTAACTTAGTAGTAATCTACGTAATAACAGAAATCTACTGATGTCAGATTCCAAATTTCTAAGCCCAGTAGCTTGTGAGCTAATTTTTCGGTTACCCTTATTGTTTGTGTTTTCGATATCTTCTAAACAATCAGTCCAATTTAAATACTGTTAAGGACAATTTGACTTTACAATAAATTCTCCTGACAACAAACTCTTTTATTTGGATATAGATTAATATTTAAACTAATAAAAGAACTCCGCAAATAGCGTGCGGTTTTTAATTCATTTTGTAAACAGAAAAGCGGTTATTGTAAGAAAACCGTTTAACATATGCCATCGTGGACTTTTCTGTACAACTTTTTGAGATCTACTACGGTTTAGGCAGCGTAAACCGTAAGAGAAAAGTCAATACATTGTGAATTTTTAACGCCGTGGTCCAGAAATATGTTGTTCCATTAAGAGGCGGTTACGGCAAATTGCGCATCTTTGGAGGCATAGAACAGGATTTCTACAAAGATTTGATTCGTGACATTTTAGTATGTGTAACTTCAGTCCTTTAACTAGAGGCTCGTGGAACAGAATCACGATTGGACATCTTTTCTCGATAGATTTATTTTTTGAAAATGCGCCTAATTCTGTAAAGATCACTATATATCTGTAATACAACAACGAAAGTAACACCTCGAACTGGTTTATTTGATATACGAGTACTTTATCTTCTGTTAACCCGAAGCGTTTTGCGATACATTGATTAGTTAATTTTTAATCGAATTTAATTAAAATGAGCTCCCAAATCCATTCGGATTTCGCGTCAGTCCGCCCGCGGGCGTCTTCGGAAGCGGACCTGTACTCGTTGCTTCGGCGAAACCCCCTCCGCGTCCCGCATTTGACCAAGTGAGTGACGGAAAGGGCGATAGCCCGCCCAATAGCTCGCTCTCTTTTTATCAAGCACGAACGTATATATAACACTGATATATATAAAATGGAACTTCCTACAATACAGACCCAATCCGGTAATAATAACGAAGTAACGGCTCCTGCCGAGGCTCCTGAGGGAGGCCTCGAGCTCAGTTACTCATAAACGAGGTTTAGGCTAAGCACCATCTGCGCTCGGCCACCTCAAGCCCGGTGAATCTGTAAATGCCTCTTCAAGGCAAACAGTGGCCATTCAGTCACAAAAAAAATACAATACAGAAAGCGCCACGCGAATAGAATATAATTATTAATTTTTTTTTAGTAAAAGTATATTTTTTCGAATTATATCTATTTAATGAAATTTGTAATGAATTTTAAAATAAGTTTTTGTCAATGCGTAAGCCATTCTTAAACTATCAACGAATGATTTGTCATCATGTTTCGCAACATTAGTATAGATAATATTGTTTATCTATACTAATGTTATGAAGAGGAAAGATTTGTATTTTGTATGTATATTATTCACTTAAAAATTACTGTGCCGATTTTAAAGTTTTTTCACCATTAAAAAAGTACTTTATCTGTCAGTAATATAGACGATTTTTTTTTTAAATTCATAATTACACGCAGACGAATTCACAAGCAACAGCTAATTGGTATAACTGCGGAACTTTTAGATAACGGAATTCAAAAGACAGTTCGGTTAGTATGATATAACTATAGCTGTTTTCCGCGACATCATCTAAATCGGAGTCTGAATGGCGCTTCGCGGCGTTCGATGTTAAGGACACGGCTGACGTAGACCGACGAGATTCGACCCACGCGATCTAACCGTGCGGTGCACCCCGCACATTGTTTGCCCGCGCCTACTTCTTCCCCCCAAAAAACGCAAATTGTCCCTAACACAGCCCCTTAATCGTTCCTCAATATTTGTAATAATAAAATATAGCCTATGTAACAGATAAATTTCCTTTCTAATGGTGAAAGATTTTTTAAAATCGGCCCAGTAGTTTTTGAGTTCTTTCAATACATACAATAGTACAAATCATTCCTCTTTATAACATTAGTACGAGTATACCTACATATATAGTGGTAACAAATAATTTTAGTTTTTAACATTGGTAAGAATTAAGATTAGACAGTTATATGCATTCGATTCACATTGTTACCTGAAATTCTATTAAACTCAATAAGGTTTTTAAATTCCATAACTAACGTTTTTTTTTTAATTTTACAGGTGACGCAGGTGAAAAGGGCGATAAAGGTTTCTCCGGTCGTCCTGGAGATAAAGGTGATATGGGCTTAGATGGTAGGCCGGGTCCTGTTGGACCTCGTGGGCTTCCTGGGCCAAGAGGTGAAAAAGGTGATATGGGAAGTATGGGTTTCCCCGGAACACCTGGCGAGATCGGTCTTAGGGGATTTCCCGGTATTCCTGGATTTAAAGGAGATAAAGGTGAAATTGGTCCTTCCATGCCTGGACCTCCTGGACCTGCAGGCTTGACCGGAGAAAAGGGAGATCAGGGACCTAGAGGAATTATTGGATTACCAGGCAAAGACGGACCGCCTGGAGCAATCGGCTTGCCAGGTGAAAAAGGAGATATAGGATTACCTGGAAGGCACGGAATCATAGGACTCCCGGGACAAAAAGGTGATGATGGCCCTATTGGTCCCCCTGGAGTACCGGGACTTCCAGGTACACCTGGAAGAGAAGGTCCCAAAGGACAGCAAGGATTTCCTGGCGTTCCAGGCAAAACAGGAGTTATAGGCTTGCCTGGCAAAAAAGGAGAACCAGGATTGCAGGGACCTGATGGTCCTAAAGGTTTCCCTGGAGCTCGTGGTCGTCCAGGTCCCAGAGGTGCAACGGGGGTAGATGGTATGCCAGGGGATAAAGGAGATAAGGGAGAAATAGGCTTTACGGGATTACCTGGACTGCCAGGACTTGTCGGACCTATTGGACCTACAGGTGCTCCTGGTCTAAAGGGAGACCAAGGTTACGTCGGATCAATTGGAACGCCAGGACGACCAGGTGTACCTGGAGACAAGGGTGATTTGGGTATTCCTGGATTTCCTGGGCTTAAAGGAGAACCAGGTTTAGCAGCAGACAAAGGTAACAAAGGAGAACCAGGTTTACCTGGTTTGAGAGGGTTAGACGGGGTTCCAGGAATGCCAGGTGAAAAAGGAGATAAAGGAAACAATGGTTTACCTGGTTACGGTCAACAAGGGCCGCCTGGAGAGAAGGGTAATACGGGACCTCGAGGATTCAATGGTTTCCCTGGAATGCCAGGGTCTAAAGGGGATCGTGGATATCCTGGTATACGTGGCCAGAAAGGCGAAAGAGGCATAGGAGGTGAACCTGGCTTGCCAGGTATACCAGGTATTGATGGAATGCCTGGAAAAGCTGGTGAGCCTGGATTACAAGGGCCACTAGGTGAAAAGGGTGATAAAGGTGACAGGGGTTACCCAGGACGCGATGGATTAGGCGGTATAAAAGGAGAACCAGGTCGTATAGGCCCAGTTGGTCCACCAGGACTTAAAGGTGATACGGGGTTAAAAGGAGATCAGGGTCTACCCGGAATATCAATTGACATTAAGGGAGATAAGGGAGACACTGGACCTCAAGGAAATCCTGGCTTTAGGGGAGAGAAAGGAGATGCCGGCAGAGATGGAGAGCAAGGTTTACAGGGAGAAAAGGGAGATCGAGGATTTATGGGACAAAAGGGAGAGATAGGAAGAATAGGATTTACTGGAGAAAGAGGTAAATTTAATTTGTATATATTCAATCCTATTTAACAAATCTGTCCGATAAAAGTTTACTTGTCAGTGGTTTCAAATGCGGCAATGTTTCTTATTTTATTTTTACTAGCTATTACTCGCAATTTCGTCCGCGCAAAACTAATAAAAAATAGTAAAGACAAGGATACGTTTCTCAGTGACAAGGTAGATTTTTACTTATTTATATTTATTTTTATTATTTTTTGAATGTTGGCCCAGTAGATTTCAGTCATTTCAATACATACAAAATTACAATTATTTGTACTTTAAAATATTGGTATAGATGAAGACTTTTTGTGTAGGTGATGAGTAAGAAATACGATAGTTTAGTTATGTTTAAATATGTATTACTTTTATCCATATCACGAAGATCAAATTAGCTGATTCAATTAGTTACCAGATGTATACTTAAAAAATAATATGTAGATTAAGTAAACAATGATGGATGAACAATAAACAAACCTTTCACGCAATAACCACTCAATACTTTTTTTTAATAGATCACTATATATTTGTTACTATTTCTCTTAGCCTTCTAAGCTTACCTTAATAAATAAGAATCTTACCTGAAAACTTTTTATTGCAGGAGAAAGAGGTCCCATTGGTCCATCTGGTATTCCTGGAATAACGATCAAAGGAGAAAAGGGATTACCTGGAATACCTGGCAAACATGGACGCCCTGGTCAACTAGGTGCTCCCGGCGAGAAAGGAGAAATAGGATTTCCTGGTCTTCCAGGTGAAATGGGTCCACCAGGTCTTTCTGCTCCACCAGGACAAAGGGGAGAGAAAGGAGATCAAGGCCGCGAAGGTCTTTCTGGACCACCAGGATTTGATGGTGCTGTTGGTTTACCTGGATTACCTGGACTGGATGGTCCAAAAGGAGAGAAAGGAGACAAAGGAGCAACCGGATTTGGCCTACCAGGTCAAAAGGGTGATCAAGGAACACCTGGTATACCTGGATTGATGGGCGAGAAAGGTGCTAAAGGGGAGCGTGGTTTTGATGGCCGCCACGGAGAAACGGGCGCAATCGGTTTGCAAGGGGAAAAAGGTGATATAGGATTCCCTGGTGCGCCGGGTTTGATTGGTTTGGTTGGTGAAAAGGGCGACAAAGGCGAAGATGCAGAGTTTATTTTAGGCGAAAAGGGTATAAGTGGACCTCGAGGTCCTCCTGGTTTCGACGGTCTGCCAGGCAATCCTGGATCACCAGGTGCTCCAGGCTTAGACGGCAGTCCAGGAATGAAAGGTGATCGTGGTTATCCAGGTCCTCAAGGTCCTCCAGGTCTTATCGGGCCACAAGGTATTCAGGGTTTCCAAGGTGAAAGAGGTGAAATTGGACGTACCGGTGTCCCTGGTATACCCGGAACTCCAGGAGCTCCATGTGTTACAACTGATTATTTGACGGGTATTCTTTTAGTTAGGCACAGTCAGAGTGACGCAGTTCCTCAGTGTGAAGCAGGCCACGTTAAGTTATGGGACGGTTACTCTTTACTTTACGTAGACGGCAATGAAAAAGCCCACAACCAAGATTTGGGTTACGCTGGCTCCTGTGTACGAAAATTCAGTACAATGCCTTTCCTATTTTGCGACCTTAATGATGTTTGTAATTATGCTAGTCGGAACGACCGAAGCTACTGGCTGTCCACTGGCCAACCAATTCCAATGATGCCAGTTGAAGGCAATGAAATAATGCGATATATATCAAGATGTGTGGTTTGCGAAGTACCAGCAAATGTAATAGCAGTACACAGTCAAACACTGGACATCCCGAGCTGCCCGGCGGGTTGGCGAGAGCTATGGATCGGTTACAGCTTTGTTATGGTGAGTTTTCGCGGCATTTAAATAATTTTTACAATTTATACAACTATTATTAATTAACTTATTTAAAAAAACCAAGAAGCCAGACTGATTGCTCTGCGTTTATTATTTTAGGAAAATTTCCTTGTTTTGATTCTGCATACGATTTCGATGTTACGCATACTTCAAAACGTACAGATATTTAGTTACATGTTTTTTTTTAGCACACGGGAGCGGGTGGTCAAGGTGGCGGCCAAGCATTGGCCAGCCCCGGGTCATGCCTCGAAGACTTCCGCTCAACGCCGTTCATCGAATGCAACGGAGAAGGTGGCACTTGCCATCACTTTGCCAACAAACTTAGCTTCTGGCTCACGATTATTGAAGACAATAAACAGTTTGCTAAACCTGAACGTGACACACTTAAATCTGGACGATTACTTGAGCGCGTCTCGCGGTGCTCCGTTTGCATAAAAAACACCGTGTAGTAAGTAGTGTTAACGACATCAGAAAATAATAAATAAATAAAAAACAACCAAAAGTCCAAGTATGTAAAAATGAGTCGAACGCAAAGCATAGATATATTAATATACTTTACTATATTTTATAAATGAACTTTATACCGTAAGCGCGCAATTCATGTTAGTTGATGTACGATTAGCGGTTCCTTGTATTTCTTCATGTTATCAACGCGAATAGGCAACCAAAGCAAAATAAAGTTAGGATTCACATACTTATACCTACATTAAGATTTAGAGTATTTAATTATTAGACATATTTTATCTTCGTGATTTTTACATGATTATTTTATTGCTTGAAATTGTTTTTGCTTTTATTGAGATCATTCTGTATGTCGAAGATTTGATGAAAAAACACCTAGTTACATTAAATCCCCTTAAACTTTAGTTAAGTTTGTTCATTTCGCTAGTCATACTTAAAAAATTTCACATTATAGAATTCTGGGTGAAGCTGATTTTGATTCCGCTTTATTTAAACTGCATTTATAAAAGTATCTTTAATGTCAAATTAGATGTATGGAGCTGAACTAGAATTACTACATAATTGCATATGTTATTGTTTAAGCAAAATTTGGGCAATAAAATCGACCTACATAATTTAAATATTGTTGTAAGCACTGCCATTGTAGATAAATTTATAGTTTATAGTTACTTTAAGTAAATTCATACAAATAAACGACTTAAAAAGTTGGACAATTTTTATTTTAAAATAAAAGCATTCATATAATTTATCTGAGGGTGCAGTGCCGAATTGCCTGCGCCGCGCTGAGGCTAGAACGACCTTATATTTTTAGACTAATTAGACACCGTCATCTATAGTCCGTTGGCTTTTGTTGGTATCAGGGGGGACTCTTCAAAAGATATGAGGAAAAAAAGGGTTGTATGAGACTCGACTCACTAGAATCTCCTCAGTGGCTACCCTCGAGTGCGACTTCAGACTTAAGAGTGTCTCTTCATCTCCAGATGCTATTGGTCAGTTATTAGATAATTTATCACTTGTGCGTAGAAGCTATTGCCCACATAACGTCACACGTTAACTGACATTACTTAGAAGATAAGCGGGAAAATAAAGCGGGCTGTCCTGATGTCCTGCCATAGACGTCAGCAGTTGTTGATGTGGGGCGGGGAGGGGGAGGTCAGCTATTAATATACGAAGAAGTTTATATGTATATTTCACATTTATTCATACCCTAGGGCTCCAGGGAATCCGATTTTCATTTTATGGTGAAACCAATGTATCTCATCCAGCTCGATAGCTGTAAAGCTCAAGATAAAGGTGTTTTGTAATGTATGTCATTATTATTATCGTATGTAATGCAGGCGACACACGTTAGGGTGTGCATGTCGAAGCGACCCTGAAACGGTTCAACAATTCTTACTAACTATAACTAACTTTGCACTATTCCTCAATTAAAACCCGTTTAAATTACAAAAAATGAATCACATAGTAATGATAAAATAAATTGCAACTTTAGAAACCCGGCATAGGACACAAAACCGCGATAACAGCGCCACTGTCAGCCGATCCTAAAAATGTGGATTATGGATATACATGATTCTTTTGGCACCGGGCAATGAGAAATGACATTTAATGTCAGGGTAATAAAGGGCATCGGTGGCTCAGTGGTTTAAACACTTGACTCGTAATCTACAGGTCTTGGGTTCGAATCCCGCCATGTACCAATGTTGTTTTCGATTTTTCGAATTTTCATATGTACATAATTTACCCGACGTTCTTACGGTGAAGGAAAACATCATGATGCAACCTGCACATATGTGTGAAGGGTAATATTAGGGTGGTAGGCTCTGAGCCCCTCGGTGGGGACGTATAGTGGAGCTGGTGATGATGAATAATGACATAGCTGGTCAGTTCACTTCGCGTCATTACTTTACGCATTTTGTGTGGCTTTTTATTGTTATTCCATGAAATAAAGCGTTTAAAAGTATTGCAAGAGACTTTTTTTAAGTTATTACATTTGAAAATGTGAATCATCTTGGATCTGTTGCAATCAGACTTTGTTACCATTTGTTAATCAAGAATTTCCCTAACCCTCAAGACGCATATTTAAGATTTGTAATTTAAAAAAAATGTTAAATATTAATTGACTTAAAAATATTTTGCTGAAAGTTTATTTTTATAATGTTTTTTGTGCACCTGGAAGTATGGCCTTCTTGACGTTAATTTCATGTTTACTTACGTATTAAAGAAATTACTGTGTGTACTCATTGATGTATCAAAAATTAACCACACAGTTGTACTGTGCGTTGATTATAAACAACAATGATTAAGATTTCTATTATTCTGTTGAGGAGCGCTAAGTAAGACTATTTCTATTATGTTAAGACTATTCCTTCCCTAATTGTCACAAGAGAGTGCATTGCTAAAAGTTTGCTACAAAGATTCTTTAACTATAGAGCCTTCTAACGGACAAACGAAGTCTGGGGCATTTCCTAGTTACATTGTAAGGTACAAATACTTACTTTACAATTTGCGTTTTCAAAAGGAAAGACTTTCCCTTTAATGCAGAAATATTACCTTGCTGGTAGCCCTAAATGCTCAGAGGAGCCATCCTGTCAATGTCAAAAAGGTGCCACAAGAGTCTTGTAGCACTATATGTCTATGATGCTGTCATATTCTTTCGTAAATCTTTAAGAGCATTTTGCAACCAAAGCGCTTGTCAAAAGTGAGAAGGGGAAATGTGAAATACATATGTTATGTGATCATATTAAATAAAAAAAAAATTGTGTCCATACGTTAAAAACAATGAATAATAAAAATAAAGTATAACATTAATTAAATACAATCAATATGTTTGAGTGGGCATATAGTGGTGCAAATAAGGCTGTGCCTAGAAATGTAGGTCCCGAATGTGCCTATTTTTTATCAACTAAAAGACAAATAATTGAAACTGTTTTAGTATCAACAATATGCATCTACACATTAGTAAGTATTTATTGCTATTATAAGGAAAATGTAAAGTCTAGTCCTAATTGAATTACTCTTATCTACCAACAAACATAATGTAATTAAAAGTTGAATAGATTTATGTCGAATATTTATTGCAATTCAATACGTTACCTACAATATTTTTAAATCTTTTTGAACTGTTTTAGCTTAAAATCTATCCCAAGTTACAAATAACAGATAAAAAACATTATTTAAAATATGACCGAGGAGGTAAACGTCTGTTGGTAATCCTATTATCTTTGCTATGGGGCATGGAAATTGGGTTCAAGTTTGCTTCTAAAACCGTCATATATTTATTAAACCCTTGTCATGTTACTACATTGATGCAGGTGAGTTTTCTTGAATATTATATACATGAGTTTTCGGTATTTTCTCTATTTCAAGCAACAACTTGTTTTAATATACTTTACACAATATTCAATGTAAGGTGATGAAGGAAGGTTAAATAATTAGATCAACTTTCATTACTTATTACCTTGCTTGGGTAATTTGGGTCTGCATTCAAGATAATTAGTAAATACTAGCCGTTGCCCGCAACTTCACCCATGTTAAACTAAAAAATAATGAAAAACAAAGAGAACCTATGCTACTCACAGATAACTTCTCTTTTGCTTTTTAAATTAAATTTCTTCACTGTTAGCATTGGAAGAGTTTTTAAAATTGGCCCAATACTTTTTGAGTTATGTCAATATATACAAAAATACAAATCTTTCCTCTTTATAATATCTGTATCATAGTTTTTTGACCAACTTCCCAAAAGAAGGAGGTACTCGATTTGTCTGTATGTTTTTCAGTGAAAGCTGTTTCTTATGCACAAATGACTATTGTATAAGCATTGTTTGTTTCAGATCTATTTGCTGACAGCACCACCCAGTAACACGGTAACAGCCATGTTTCGTATACATTTGAATTTATTAAATGGACCATTACTAGCATTCCTGTTTCCTGAAACAGCCTCAAGAACGGTATGCATCCATTACATAAATTAGAGTATGTTCAATTCTGCCTAAGGTTATAATATTCTAGGTTAACTTTTTAGATTTTCGCTGAAGCCGCCTTATATTGGATACAACATGGAATGATGTTTGTTATACCATATTATTTACTGAGAATTGGAGGTATGCTTAACTTTTTTAGTTCTTTTGATTGCAATCTGGAATATAAACAAACCAGATGCAATATGTTTTTCTTAGCTTAGTAAATTACCTATCCTTTTATCAGTACTTGTTAATTATACTACAATTGATGTTTAAAGTAAATTTTGCTTTATATATGGTTGTGTTATAAATGAAATATGCCAATAATTCGCTAATTACATTTAATCAAATATATCTGTTTAAGGTGTGTATAATATAGAGCCATTTTGGGACTTCAATTGGTGTATCTTCAGCTATGCCTTGAATCTGCTTTACCATTTTATCATTCTACAAGTGATTGCCATTGTAAGTATTAATATATATTCATACCTGATATAATGCATAAATAGATGTGCATTATGTTTATTACATTAACAAGGTGGGGCTGGGGCACCTATAGCTTGCCACCACAAATATTAAGCAATCATACTTAATACTAACATGTTAAATGCGAAAATATAGATGGATGGATGTTTGTTAGAGTTTGTAGCCTAAAGTGTTAAATGGATTTTGATAAAATTTGATAAAGATGTATGGGATAGTCTGTTAGAACACATAGGCTACTCATTCTTCTCTAATTCTACGCGGACGAAGTCGCGGGGGAAAGCTAGTATAACAAATTCAGATATATTTTTATTATATAGATGAAGTGAAAAACTAATTTTATGACATTTTACTTGCAGCCAGCTCAAGTGAACTTGAACCACATGCTGTGTCCGGCCATATTGGATCCTTTTGACGGGCCGTGGTATCGCACTGCGGCAGTCATACATCAAGCCTTGCTATGTCCTTTGCTTTGTAAACTTTTCTGTCTCTTTGCAGATTTTTGTCTTACTAAATTTCCTCCAACTAAAGTGAAACCCCAAATGAGTGACCTCTTGCAAGGTAAGGACGCAGTTGTAGATCACAAGTCAATTGAATAGTGACCAATGTAAGATATTTATGGCTTTAATTCCGCCGAAATTTACCCTTTCAGGGTAGTTTAGAAATATGTAAGTCATTATTGCCTAATTTAGGAAAGTTAACACTTTTCATGACGTCCATTTGAGGGGTTCTTATTAGTTAAGGTTGAAACAACCTTAATGTAATTTTAGTAAAGTACAAAATGTTTATTATGAATATATAATAAATATTTTCGAACAGAATTACGATTCTGAGAATTTGGATCTGGTATCATCTGTGATCTGTGTGGTTTAAATTATTTTCTACTTATTGATTCTATTTTGCTATATATAAACAAAATGGAATTTTCAAATAACTAGGGTCATACTAAAAAACGCTTAATGTGCATTTTATTCTAAATATATATAAATATAAAGGACATATGTAGATATTTTATATCATTGAAAATAGACATAATACCCACGGCGGTTGTCTGTTAAATTAATAATAGTTTGGTTATAATCGTTATTCAATATAATTAAATACTTATTACTATCGGATATATGGATGGATTTAATGGAGGGTTGGGCAAATAGTATTACTAGTAAATAACTAAGATGGTTACTATAAAAAAATTACGAAAAATCACAAAGCAATTGTAGTATTATTTAGTTGCGTTTGCTAGGATCTCAGACTTTTCTTGCATAGAAATATAAAAGCTCAGATCTCACCAATTGTTTTTGTAGAAAAGTATGGAATATTTTATGTATACAGAAATTTAAAATACTAAAACGTTCTCATAAAGCACATAGTTAATTATTACCATTAGGTAGTTTAAAAAGTTCTGGATTAAAGGGGGATTCTTCAAAACATAACTGAACAAGGGAATGAAAAGGTGAAGACAAAAGGGCAAGTCTAATGCTGTAAGTGATATTATCGTGCAGTGTTCATTTATCAGAAGATAACCAGACTTTTTAGATAGAATTTAACGGCTTTGCTTGATTTTGAATTTGACCAATGTTAAGTTTACGTAGTGTTAGGTCTGACGCTGCATGTATTTTTTTTGAAAAAAACTACTTAAAATGTTAAAGTAAATATGTTGTCATTAAAATTACTGATATATTAAAAGGAAATAGATTTTGAATTATAACGCTTACTATTGATTTATTAAGTTAAAATATAATATACCGATTAAATTTTGGAGATTACGAGTATGCATATTCCAGTTAGGATATATTCCGTTGGAAACTATTAAATCTTTGCTCCGTCAAATGCTTTTCAGTAACTTTTTGGACTAAAGACTAAAGCGCGCGGTTATCTATCAGATTTTACGTTGTTTGTTAAATTATTTGATATAAAGCTTTTGTCAATATTAGACGTACATATTGGAACTTATATACGGATACAAATTATAATAGCAACTGTTTATGTCTAGCTAGAAAAAAATGTTCGAAGTTATAGAAACTTACAGCCAACACAATAGTGCATCATTATTCATAACGAGTCCCGTGTTATACATAATACTATTAACAGTTAATAAAACTGGTTTCCATAAAAATCTACAAAGTCAAAGAAAAACCAAAAATTACATATTAAAAGTTCAATAGTTTAGGTATCTATAAAGAGATCAAATAAAGTGAAACAAAATGCCTCTAATTATTTGTTACTTGCACTATAGTGTGATGAGTGGATCATAGTAAGCCTTTCGTAACAAGAGCTAGAACCAAATTATATAATAAAATTAATAAATAGATTTAAGTGCTGCTCACCAAAGTGATATGACAAGTGTTTGTTTTTATAATAAATGGCTTCTGCCTTATTCTGCTGTTTTTTTATTTTTATCTCCATATATATATCTGCTGCTGAATTCTCTTAACTTTAACACTGGTGTAGATAGTTTACGAGAATGTATATGATTGCATTTGTGAATGGAATGTTATTAACGATGACAAAGGATCAAATATATTTGAGGAGGACTATAGTCTGTGTAAAATTAGTATATAAATAAACGTAAAATGTATAATGGCAGCAATAAGAATACCGCTCACACAAAAAATTAAACACTTTTATTTCTGTAAGTTTACAAACATTACAGCCGGCGACAGCAAACAATACACAAGGAATACTTAAGCAATTCGTAAGTTCCTATGCAATAGGGGTGGCCAACCCATAGCACGCAACACAAAACGGCACGACTCTTAGCAAAACATTCAAGCACTCCTAATAATGTCAGATCTGCCAAATATTCTCAATAAAAAAAATATTTTATTAGGTGCCTACGATTTTATTAAATGCTTCTTTAAAAAAAGACACATTTATAAGTAAAGGTTCGCCATTCCAGCTGTATGCCTGTTACCCATATTATAAGGTTTTATTTCACAACACAATATCAATGTAAAAAGAATATAACGTTTCGATTCGTAATAGGCTACACATACTTTAATGGCAATACGCCATTGTCCGCATATGTTGTGTGGAAAGCTATAAATGCATTCTTGGCAAACGAATGTTCGACATAATAAAATAATTATTGATTAGTGTCGCCTGGGATTCGAATCAGTCTACAGAATCCGATATGCATTTACAAATAAAACGAAAATAATTACCTACAATTAAAAGATAAATTATTTAAAAATCTGCTAGGAAATTATCACACGATATTGCTCAATAAGTACAAATTAATGCATTTTTATAGAATACGACTAATATACAATTATATAACCAAAAATGAATTATTTGTGTATCATTAGAATTTAACTTGGTTATTTAAAGAGTTATATAAAACAAACCTCAGCAATAATAAATTCTAGTTTAAGAAAAGTGGATAACAACATTTTTTCTGAGGGAACAGACATTGTCAAATGTTACATAGTTGGTGTAAAAGCGTTCTGCTTGTAGAGTAAGGCATTTATCACACTAGTAAGTGGAGTATAACATAACACTAGTATACTAGTTTTCAGATATCTTGGCGGCTCTTGAATTCACGCTAGCTGTTGCAATTTAAGAGCAGGAAGCGAGGAAAGAGGGTACTTCCTAGCGCGCCGATGATTGAGCCGTCAAGACATTTGAAAATAACTGTCGTATGCATCATTTCATTGTCAATGGTTCTCCATTGCAACAACAAAAAATATTGTCATTAAAGAAATAGAGATAAGACATGTGGTGTAGCCTTTTATAATGGCAACTCACACAGACAGCTTGATTTCTAATCATTCAAATAAAATTTGTTTATTTTCTTTACTTGTATAATCAAACATTTCAATAAGATTCATTGTTTACAAAACCTTATTCAAATACTTTGAAAACTTACATTAAACATTTGACATACTTAAACTTTCACACAACTAAATTAATATCAATTAACTAAATATATGTACATTATGAGATGAAGTCTGAATTTTACGTTATAATAATTTACCTATAGTAACAAAGCAAATTATATTTAGCATATTTATTAATTACACAATCTTTGCTCAATTTGATTGTTCAAATCGAGCAAAAATAAAAATAATTTTAGAATTAAAATTATTAGCTAAAAATAAATTAACACAACAAAAACCTTACATAGTAGGAATGTATTGAATTGTTAAAATGACTAGAATGAATACTAACCACTGATAATGGTAATTTAAAAAGAAAACAATACAGGTACAACAAACAAATATATCACACTTGGTATTGGTGTAACTTGTCCAATCCACAGACAATTAACCATCCATAGGAGGTCCCAAATACACCATAGACACCTCTGTATTTCCATAAACAGCTGATATAGTTGGATACAATTTTCTATTTGGTAGGCCTGTAAGAAAATTATTGTTCTTACTAACATTATAAATTGAAATGGCATAGATGTAGAGGATAGAGAAACACATCACTTTTGTTTTTTTTTAAACATGAGTGAAAACTAATTTATTTCATAAAATCATAACACATCCTTAACCTAGCTTTGTTTAATAAGACAAAGTTTTCAAAAACTTAATTATACCTCATTATAAATAAATAAGCAGATATTACAGATTGCTATCAGCAAGTTTCTGTGAGACCATACATCACAGCATGTACTTAGTGGTTATTTGGATTTTATGCATCTCTACCAAGCATTATTAGTAATAATAAAATATACTAACCTCGAAATGCAACTCCTAAAAATTCATAACTCCTTTCAAATGACAAAGTGCCGATTTCACAATCTAGAACAACTCTTATCCTTTCACCTACCTGAAATAGACAATAAAAAATGATTTATTATTTTATTTTTTATTATAAAATCATTCTCAATTTTAATTATTTTTATTTAAACCACTACTAACTACAAATACACCGAATTATTATCTTCTTGTAAAAATATAACAATTTTTTTTTAAAATAGGAACAATATGAAGTAAAATCTATTTTGGAAATCAATAGAAATTGTAGCCTTACTAGCTACTGCAGTTAAATGCAGTTTGAGCTCAAACTGCATTTTTTATATGTTTTGCACCAACCTTTTGGACATACTAAGGACTAGTAATATGAAATATTCATACCTGATATTTGGGACAATTATTAAGGCACGGGTAATGGCCCTGGGTTTGTCCATTATGCAATAAATGATTATCAACTAAATTCCATCCCCAGCTTTGTTCATCTGAACCTAATAATCCCACATAACCCTGACATTGTAATGGCGCATCTCTAGTTGATATTCCAACTACAGCAACAGTTCCTAATGGTCCTTCCCATATAACTTCCCAGGCGTGCCGACCATGATAAAATCCAATCTTGGCTCTACAAGCATCAGTACTTTGTGCAACCGGATTCCTGAAAATATATATTAGTGAACAATAGTTCTACACACTCAGACAATACTTTAGTAAAGTTTATGACTCTTTTTTAAACCTGTGTAAAGTAAATCCATTCGGTTTTATATGAATATTCCTAGAACAATCTCGAGGACTCCAAGCATGGAAGAATGCTCTAAGTTTTGCTTTATAAGTTTTAACTGATGATAGAAGATCGGATCTCATAACTTCTTCTGCCAGTTTTTTATAACAGTGATATCTCCATATTTCGTGGTTCTCATCACTAAGAATTCTACACCAACTTTTACAAACTAACGAACAATTTCGTATATCAGATAAACTTAAATATGAGAAGATTGTTTCTAAAACATAATCTGGAATTCTATATACTTTACGATGGTCATAATAATACATTTTTCGACTAGGTTGGTAATGGATATGCATTTATATGCTGTTTATGATTTATTTTGTAAATAAAGTTATTTAACATTAACACACTATATTCATATTGACAATTAATAATCGAACGAACAAGTTTTTTTGTTGTTTTGTTGCTCTTATTGGCTGATGCTGATTGGGTCGGTCATGTTCATACCCACAGATACAGAATATTTTTATTTTACTCCCTAAGAGTAGTAGTACTTGCATGGTACACTAAAAATAAAAGGTCGTTTTTTTATATTAACAAGGGCAACCAAGTTATAATATTACAAGCTTTTCCTGTGTGGCTTTATCCGCATCAAATTATAAAAAACTTTATTGTATTGTTTACAGTGATGCATAGATCTTTTGGCACCCGGCAATTTTGTGATATAAAGAATGACAATTGAATGTCAGGGTAATGTTGACTTACATAGTCTGCATAATCAGACGAAGTAGATTTGTGTTTTTTTATTTCAATTGTTGCACAAAACATCGAAATGCCGATAATGGTTGGTGATTTTGTTACTGACGGCGATTATATTATTGCAAGAGCTAAGCTGGCGCAAAGCGAAAATAACATTTATGCAGCCAAAGCATGGATGCTTACTGCAAAAACCTTATTTCCAACAAACTTTAAAATCCAATTTGAAGCTTATTTGATGGAAAAACAATCAGGGAATGTTCAAGAAGCAGCAGAATGTTTCAGTTCTCTCATGATGTCACGACAAAATGTCTCAAAATTGTTGCCCGAAATATTGTCCATTGCTAATGCCCTTAAATCTAATGAGCCTTGTTTCTTAAGCCAAATGTTTGATAATATTTGTCCAGACATGCAATTAACAATTCTTAAAACCAGTGTTGAAAATAGTGACGACACTATGGAACATTGTCGCTTGCTAGTTTTACTTTTAAAAAAGTTTCCTCAATTAGGTGTCGATAGTTTGGTAAAAACTTTGATTAATGCTGACAAATTTTTCTATGATAATAGATACGCTCGTTTGTTAGTGGTGGAAACCTTACCCCTTCTTAGTTCCTTGGAGTCTCCAAGATTACTGCAACGTCTTATGGTTAAGGCAATAGATTTTTATAATTCTTATATGTATGATGAAACTGAGAATGACATTACAGATCCTTGGCAAAGGCTGTATGGTGTATTAGATCTACTGGGAAGGCAGCTGGGATGGGATACATATTTAGTTAATTACACTAATAGTTTGAATAAAGAAACATACTTCCAAAAATTAATGTCTTTAAGGGGTAATGAAGACTGTCGTGAGCTTTTATATTGTGGAGTCACATTTTTTTTGAGGTCACTCTATGAACAAAAATCTCTGAAAGGTAATCATATTCTTATTGAAGCATTGTCTGACCCGGATCAGCCACCATCAAAACGAAGAAAAGGAGATATCGAAGTAACCGGTATATCTGCACATCAATTTCAAGCAGCAGCAAATGTTTATGAACTTTTAAATAGTAATGAACTAATAGCTAGGGAGTTCATGAAATTGGTGTCACAATTGCAAGTCAAACCATGGACAGAAGGCTTTACTGATGAAATAGCCCTGTACCGCGGAAGATATGAAGATGCTACACCACCTGCAACTGCAAATTCTTTAAGTGCAAATATTACCAGGGTATCCATTAACTTTGCCCAAAAGAAATATTTACCTTGTATTGATGCTATTTTCGCTGCATTATCCCAGCTCCCAGCAGTAGAAGGTGTTTTGGAAACAGATCTTATTGTTGGAGGCAAGCATAGACATCTGCATTTTTTACCATTGACAAAAGTTTCTATTATGCACTATTTTTGTACATTACTAATAAGAATTCTTTTAAGTACAGGCAGTAATGCAGATTTGACTTATGGACACATTTTAGTCCTCATGCAACTTGGATGGCCACAAGAAGAGGCAATTTTTATCCAAATTCTGGATATAATCAAACAGAAAGGTGTTTTTCATTATCATCTCTTTTCAACATATGTAATTCATATAGATTTCCTTGAAGAGCTTAGTTTTATTTGGAATGAACAAGGAAAAAATATAGCACTAGATATACTCCCAAATTCTCAACATTTGGGACAAAGAAGGATTGGCACTCGTGGCGCTGACAAAGGGGTAAAAGAAGATTTCAAACAAGCTATGAAAGCTCAAGTTGCAAGATGTAATGAATCTATACTGAATTTGATAATACAATTCATTTCTACAGAAAAACCATATCTTTTTCAAGTCCTTTAAATTAATAAAATAAATATGAGTATATGTAACGTTTTTTATTACTTATAATGAATTATCATCATGTCATCAATAACTTATGAACTACCATCATATGAGCCCACTCCAAGCAAAAGGTTGCGTCGAGTGAAATGTAAGCTTTTTATTGGCGAATTCTTTGTTGCGAATGAACGTAACAAATATTTGTCTTCCTTTGACCCTGATGTAGTACTTCCAGATTCTTCATTTACTGTTTCATCTGTTATCAGAGTGAAGTCCCACAACTTTATGGTACAGTCTAAGGAACCTGAAAATTGTGAAAACTTAGCAAGTTATGAAGTGTACCCCAACAGAAAAGAGCACATACATTTTATAAACAAAATATACACGGATATACAAACCTGAGGATAAAATAGTTCCATTGCGACTGAATGCCAGAGCGTGTATAGGTCCAGTGTGTGCGGGGGGCAGTGCTGCGGTCAGGGAACCATTGGATATGTCCCACACAAGCATGTCGCCTACTGTGCCCCCAGACACCAACCATCTCCCACACACGGAGAACGCGAGAGTGAAAACAGTCGACTGGAATTAAGTACTATAATTTTACTACACAATATGTAAGTGATTGTAAAATCTATACTAATAATATAAAGAGGACAGATTAGTATTTTTAGACTTTTGTATGCATTGAAATAACACAAAAACTACTGTACCTATTTTAAAAAAAATCTTTCACCATTAAAATGTTTCGTTATCAGTAAGTAGGCTAGTTTATGAATATGGCTATTTTATATTTTACCTTATGTCCACTCATGACACGGACTTGACTTCCCGTGAGACAATCCCACATCCGCACAGTTCTGTCACTAGAACCTGTTGCTATATAATTTGAATTGGGATGAAATTGTACGCACTGCAATGTGTACACAATTATTTTAAAATTATATTAAATGAATCAATATCTATCACAATAAAAACAATAATTACATCAATATCCGAAAAATGACCAGTAAATAAGCGTAGCGGCTGATAACTGTCTGTCGCCCACAGTCTGGCCGAGCGGTCATGGCCGCATGAAGCGAAGTAGTGGCCATGGGGTGACCACTTCACATCCCAAACTGGCCATGTATGAGCTCTGTATACCACAAGGCACGACCACACGTGCAATGACCACAGTCTTACTGAAATTGTTGCACAACAAAAAATAGTTTTAAAACACTTAACACTTAACACTGAAATAGTGCTGATTTAAAATTAGACTATCTGTGTGCAGTATAATAATTCAAGTAGAACATATTGTCTTATTCATGATATATGATAGTGTTAGAAATCTTACTAATTATAAATGTGAAAGTTTGGATGGATGGATGTTTGTGAGTTTGTAGCCTAAAAGGCTGAACGGGTTTTGATGAAATTTGGCATAGATGCTGAGGATAGTCTGAAAGAACACATAGGCTATTTTCTTTTGTTTTAATCATACCAAGAGGACGGAGTCGCGGGCGGAAGCTAGTATTTATATGAAAGTTTGTTATGTCACTTTTGAAAAAAAAAGTGAGAGGGAAATTTATTTCTGTATGATTGAATGAGAAAAGAAACATACTTGTACTATCTTCTGAGCAAGATACAAGCATTGTCTTGAATAGATCAAAGCCTACTTTGTAAACAGGTCCTGAGTGACCATAGAGTGTCCTGCATGTGTCTCTATCTCTTTCCTCCATCATTCTAACTGCAACATCCCCTGCAATAAATAATATACTGATTGATGTATTTTTGTATAAACTGCAATTTGAATTTAAACTTTAAATAAGGAGCAGTTACAAACCTGCTTCCTTATCAATATCTTGTAGCTTATCAGCCGATTTCATCCCGCGCAATCTAACGGGTGTAAGTGTCCAAACCTGCATAAACGAATTAAGACATCAGGAAAAAATTCAATCTTTTAAAAAAAAATTACGTGTGTTACATTTACGTCTTAGCTTTTCTTAATATTTTAATTTCTTATTTTATAAAAATATTTACCTACCTTTATTATTGAATTGCTGCAACCAACAGCGAGTAAAGTGGAATCATCACATATGTCTGCGCAGATAACACTATAGCCACTGTTTAAGAGTGTGTAGAAACATATAGATGGTAGACAATCTGGTCCTAATGGCACGCGCTTGGCACGCAATGCTTTCACTTTCTCAATCTTGTCACTCTCTTTTCTGAAAATATTGAAGAATAAGGACACAAATAATTTGTTTGTAAATAAATCTGCACTTTTAAATCTTTGGAAAGATTTTCATAATTTGATAAATTAAATAAAAAACAAAATTTTGTTTCTATTGTTTACATACAATTCTGGAAGTGGTATTCGGTCAATTGATGGAGCATTTGGGTCAGATTTTGGTTTTTTCATGTACATATTCTCTTTCTTTGCTTTCTTCTTTTTTGGTTTGTCAGGTGTTTCTTCTGCTTCCTCTTCATCTTCAGCTGGCACCGGGAATACTTCAATTTCTGGCTCTTTTAACAGGCCATAATAAACTTTTACCCGATTCTCTAAAATAAAACCACATACATATGAAAAGAAATGTTATTCTCTATCCAGTATATAATTGTAGTTAGTTCACTTAACAAAATTGCTGCCTTATCTGTAAAAGTTTAGAAACCTAAAAGCTTTTTTAAATTAAAAACATACTGAGGTGATTGGTTTGATTATGAACCATTTTTTTAATACCCTCTTGTAATTTATTACCATGAGTTTATATAGATGTAAAGAAGTTAATAGCATACTCACCATTTCTTGTGGCTTCCCCAAGTAGACCACCCGCTGTGGCTCTCACTTGTGCTTGAGTCCTACCGGGGCCATCATGAACATCTATCTGAATGTGGTTGTTAATTATGTTTATAATAACAGTTGAACTTTTCTGTTCTTGCAAAAACCTTTTTAACTGTGATGACACATCTCTTGACAATTGCACCTCAAATTTGTTAGTGCTAGAAAAATTTAAACATACAATCAGTGCTAAAGTGGTATGAAAAATGGGAAATGGAAGCATGTTTGAGGAGTATTCAGAAAAGTCTAATTATGATTTAAGATGATTAGCTTCCTTCACTTAATAGCATTATTATAATTTTGATAGTATTGAAAATGTAAACCAAAATTAAATACAACATTTAATTAAATGTATACATTTTTTAATTACTCTTTAAATATGCAAAAAAATGGGTATTTTAATCAAAGTGTACCTATAAATCTGAGCTAATTCATTGAACTTGATTTGATCCTTGTGTTTAACAATACATAGCTTGGCTAAATCATCTTGATAAAAATCTTCCTGCTCTGGTCCAAACTTTTCCAAGAACTTGGCGGCATGTTCATTGTGATCATATATGATGAGGAGCAAATACATGTGCACAAATACTGGATAAAGAAGAGTTGACAATTCATACTGAAAAATAAGTACCCGTTACTGTATTCTAAAGGTGATTAGGATGTGATATTCAATATAGTACATTTATATATCCCAGAAAATTCTTCATAACACTCATAACTAATTTATTTCGGACTACAAAATATTTAATTGGAAATATCAAACCTTGTAAACATCCAATGAGCTTTCAATAAATTTTTTAAGACTTTCATACGAGAACTCGTAACTATATGGATCACTTTCCGTATGATGAGCAGTGAGAATGCTTGCTATTTCAACTTCGGGCAAATTTAACGTTTCATATTCAACATCTCCTAAACTTGCTTCCTTTCGTAATATTTCTTCAGTCCCCTTTAATTACAAAAAAACATTAAAATTTGCATATGCATAGAGGTTTAGTGCGTAACACCTTCTATAAATAAGGAACGAGATGATCCAGTATTAAAAAAACTCATACTTTAAGATTGTATTTCCGAAGCAATTGCAGTACAGCTAAAAGTGGTGTAGATTTTTCACCCATGTTTGTAATTCACAATTAAATTAAGAAAAAATCAGCACACAAAGTGAAGTATTTGCAAAATTAAACTATGTGAAATACAATTTAAACGAAGTCAAAGCTGCACGAATTCCATATTCCATCCGTTTCACATTAACAAAAACTAAACAGAAATAATGCACAGAAATGCTGTCATTTATTTGTCACGTCACGTCACTGTCAAATGTCACTAAAATTGTCAAAGAGTAGAAAGCAGTGAACAAAATTCACATTTTAATTTATTTATGCAGCTTATAATTATTCTTCGATTCTTTCCACACTTTTTCCCGTGAATTATGTTATACCATGGTGGTAATAAGTACTAGGTATAACAAGAGAGGAGTGTGTTTTATTTGTACATCTTACAATTAAAATAAAGAAAATAAAACCGAAATTGAAACCGAGCAAGAGGGCTTCAGTTTCCGATCCCTTTCTAACAGTGATCTAGAGTTGTCAGATATCAATATTTTCGTTGTTTGTAGAAAAATAGGCAATTGATGTAATAAATTACACATTTTAAAAGCAAATGTTTCTAAATATAATTAATAATTTACTTCCGACATTTTTTTGCTACGAGTAAAACCTAATTAACAAGAAATAAATTGCGTTTGGCGTAAATAAATTTCAAACAAATAAAAGTTTTCTTTTATTTGTTTAATTAAATAATACGTTAAAATCTATCTGAAGCAATAATCACCTAACGTCAGAAAACATAAACAAGTTTTTATAATATATGTCCTAAAATCATATTTTAGCAGAGTCACCATCGCCAGAGAAGTATAAAACGGACAGTTATTGAGGTCTCGCTCGGCGTCAATTTTTTCGACAACAGCTCAATCCTCTTTTGGAAGAACTCCATTTGTTATGCAATTTATATGATGATTTCACTGACTTCTGTGAATAGACGTGCCATAAACTATGGTATTTTGTCTCTACTTGATTTTCACCATTTTGGCGCTAATGTTTGCGGTTGGTCGCGGTGAAGTTTTCGAACTATTTATAGTGATAGATTAAACTGTCATTAACGTTAAAAGGCACGTTTAAGTCCAGAACAAAGCAAAAGCTGCAATTTCTAAGCAATCTATCTATGGATGATTGAAATGTAGGTAATCCGAAATAATTTTATGTGACACATGCATCTTTCGTAAAATTCGTCGCCGGAGATTGAATTTTAGTCCTGTTCTCCTTCCATCCCTTATCTTATAAGAAAAGAAAGGCAGGGAAATGGAGTTGGTGGGAAAGGGAATCTCTGAGATTGGGAAATAAGTTTCTACCGTTGCCAATTAATAGTAAGCAATACTGTAACATTACAAATTATTCCAGATATACATAGCGGGCAGCTATGCATTCGTCGTTTTAGCTATGTTTCTATACTATTCTAATAAACAAACATTAAAAAGGAAATAGGGTGAACTACACTTACAGAATAAAATTTTAACGAACGAGTAAAGTAAAAATAAATAAGTCTGTATTTAATTATTTGTGTCCTGTTGTTTCGGTTTCCTTATCTTGTTTTCGAGAAGGTAAAACGGGGTATAATTCATATAAGGTTGGATTACAATTAAAACAATTTTTAGGTACAATAATTATAATTTGCGCTTTTGGATCTATTACAAAACATAGAAAGGACAATGTATAAATTACAATCAAAATTTTATATACATAGATGTTATAGTAACACGGTAATATGTTACTTGTACTGATCAGGTAGATAAAACAACCAAGAAATTTTACAAAGAAAACAAAATAAGAGTTATACTATTTCTTCATTTGTTATATTAAATTCCATCTAAATATCTGATCTAAAAGTCGGACAGACTTATATTTCGTAATATTCAATGATCGATCAAACAAAATACGTAACACTATAATAAAGTATATGTTCGGTACAAATGACGAGACAAACATATAGTTTAAATTCGCGGCCTGGGTTATTGCGGGTAACCGGGCGCATTTTTATTCTCCCACACTAGTGGGTAGATTTGAATCCCTCTCCGGTTCGTTCGGGCAGTTCGGTGTGAGGGAGAAAGAGTCGTGGGCAAGCAACCACGCGGGTCGGTCGGTTACTAAAAGTACGAGTTCGAGGTTATCGGAACTGGTTGCTTGTCCGTCATCGCGAAAGACACAACGGGCGTTTCATTTATGTTAGTAAAGTGTGACCCGAACCCTTTTTGTACGGCACAGATTAAGATAGTAGTAAAGTTTAAACCTATAAGTATATCTAAATAATATGTCAGTAATGGCCGGATACTGAAACGAATCTTAAACATTTCGCATTGTGAGCGCCAATTACAATATGCCAGACGTCACAACGTTAATGGGACTTGGAGTTTAAGCGTGGTCTTTTGATCACCAATAATGATATCTAATAAGAAATATTTTCATTTAAGACTCTTTTTATAACATATTTAAATACCGTTTCAATATTCAGACGTACCTATAGACATAACATCAAATCTGACCCAGCTAACGATTCAATTTGCAGAAAATTAACTAAAGAAGAAAGTTTTTATATTCTGCGCAAGGAACAAGCTGCGTCAGTAAATCCACATTCTCATTTTATTTTTGGGAACTTCTAACGGTATTAACAGAGCATCGTAATTACAAAATCAAAACTAGATAATGTAATTAAACATGACAATTGAGCGTAAATGGTAGAGAGTAGCATTTGTCACCAAACATATGTTTATACATCTAAAGTTGGTTGTGGTACACTTACGGCTAAAGAGCTCAAGCCTTATAGGAGGCTTACTCCCAAACGTTAAAACGTTATTTATTTAAAAAAATGGTATTTCCATAAGTATAAAAGGTAGAAAATGTATTAAGCATTATTTTTGCGGGTTACACAATCATCTAACTAAAGCACCTAATATTGTAGTTAATTTCACTCTATAATAAAACTAGATACGTACAGCGAATTCAACATGCATTTATAATAGTTGCTCCCCGGTGCATAAGTAAAATAAATTGCTTTAAAAGTAGTCGCAGTCAGCTGGGACTTATGAAAACGTCCGGTTTTTACACAAAATATACAAGTACGTATGTTAGCTAATATATTATGTTATGAAGTTTACCGTTTTTTTTTACTATGAGTAAAAAGTTGGATTATTACATTTTGCGTAATGTAGAAACTGAACGCTAAAGTTAAATAAAAATATCTATAGTTTAAGATAAAATACACAGTTTTTCTAACCTTCATTTAGTTTCCGACGTAACACTAAATAATGAATATGCATATTTGTAGCTTTTTTAAAAACAATGTTTTGTACTTATAATAAAGATTTCAGTAATATGTAACATTAAACATTTTTATTAAAAATCTAGTTAACTAAAATATAATAATATTAAGAATACAGAACGAGTAGAGATTAAAGTTTTTTTTTATTACATTTGTGTTATTTTTCAAGATATATAATAGTAAGAAATAACAAATTTTTAGACTATTAAAATAATTTCTATTTATAATAATTGTGTGTTTAGATGAAAACATCAACTTTAAGTTAATAAAAATGTCTATATTTAAACGGATATGTATGACGGGATATAAAATCCCGATATTCCATTGAATACAAACGAAAAATCCTCATTATTGTACTAAAATGACGAATAATGAGGACATTTTAAGATAGATAACACTTATAGAAGTCGTCATAACATAAGTTTATTTGTCTATATCCTTGAATCTTCGAATTTAAAACAAGGCAATCGATTTATTATAATAATCTTAGTTTTTAATGATCAAGTAATTGATACTTTTTGATTTATTGGTTCGAATTTTATAAATGATCCTGTAACAACAGCAGTCGATTCTATGTTTTGATGACTTGACTTGAAAGGTTTTTAACTTTTTACTTATCTTTGAAGCATTTTCAGCCTTAAAGATCCTTCTATCATCAGATCCATAAATACATAGTTATATTTAACTGTGATGTATAGTATACTGCACTAGGTCATGTATTTAAAATTCAGTTTACATTAAAAGATAATAAGTATAATTTTAAAGTTGGTTCTAACGTATGAGCTAAACTACAATTTTTTTTTCTATTTTTGGTCGTCGGTAAGTAAAGCTATAAAATTTAATTTTCAAAACTACTTACAATGCCCTAATTTATAACAATAGTACTCTAACAAAAAGCTGATAAATATTTTTTACTTAAATCGATGTTATTTCTTTCTTTAACTTTATATGAAGAATATCTCGAACTGGATTGTATTCTATAAAACTAACAATGTAATTGACGAGACGAAAAAAAAAATGTAATCTCGAATACGACGAAAAACCCTTTTTATAATGTCGGAGTTTGATAAAGAAAATATGGAATCTTGGTCGAAGTTCTTATTAGAAATACTTACTGTGCCATACTTATTATATTAAATAAAGAATTTTTTGCATAAAAAAATGTACAACGATTCAAGATATGATCTTTTTGAGGTTAGAGTATTTGTACAAACATATCGCGCCTATCATACAAAAGCAATACTCTGTTTTACACAGATCATAATATTTTTTCCAACTGTCTTTTAGTAGTGGGTAGTCTAGTGAGAATGAAAATACCCATATATGTATATAAGTAGAAATGATTCAACGGTGACAGTCCACTTTCGGAACATTTGTTTAAAAAAAACTAATCATCTCTCTCACTCTCCCAAAAAATAGAGGTAACTATTTCGGCTTCGTTTCATGGTAACAGTAACATGGGGCATACAAGACCTCACAGTAGGTCAGTCATTTCTACCTACATACATCTATTTTTTGTCTCATGTATGAATCGTGCGAATATCAAGAACGTCACGTTCCCTCTTATTATTTACTTACGTATCTCTTCACTTCCTTGCGTATTAATTACAAACCCACTCGCAGTCTACATTTCTATGCGGAATATACGAAAAGCACTTGCTAGTATGTTGCCATACATAATTAAAAAAAACACGGACTCTGCCCAAGTTTGTATCTTAAAGTTATATTTTTATCGAGCTACATCTATGCCCTCTGTGCCTTCGAAAATTTAGACAAACCAACGTACTTTTTTGTAAATATTGATAGAAGTTAGAATATTTCTAGAAATTCTATGCTGAAATTTAAAAGCGGTAAACTCTGATCAAAGAATATCACAAAGCTAAGCCGTCATTACCGTATACCGGAAAGCATTTAATTTACTGAAAACCGAATGTGAAAACTAGGACGATGTAGTTTGCCAAAACAGTTAACGACCAAGTTACTGTTAAAATATCATTATTGTACTTTTGCTTTGTTCTAGAAAACATACAAAAGAAATTCCAACAACAGTTAACACATTTGTTTGTGTCTAAATTTCCATTTCACTCCGTTTTAAAGTTTACTAATATTATAAAGACGAATGATTTATATTTTTGTAAATTAAATAATGCTAACATGGACTATTTTATTACCATATTTTTTATTCTGCATTAACGATGTCGCGAGCATAAACTAGGTAATTATATTTTTTATACGGTCTTCCTTTTATAAAAAAATAAAATACCCATATATGTCTATAACAAGTAACATGTAACTTTGCAATAACTGAATAATACATTTTTGATGCTAATTAAATCAAAAACGTTCAGTTATTTTTAGATATTTTAGTATTGCTCTTATAATTGGTACAGAAGGTAAGATATTATAATCATTACGTTATAACAATCGCTACGATTAACAGGGATTTCGCGGGTATCAAGGAGGGTTCGTGGCTTCTATTTTGTCGTCCAATTAAAATTACAAACGGATAATATTAAATTTTCTAGTGTACATTTTGTAACGTTCTATGTTATGGAGGCACAGTAAGTATTTAAGTGTAAATATGCTGTCGATTACATGCATCTTGATGATTTTTATTAATTTTATGCTATGATTTATAAGAAAGAATTTTTGATTTTTAATTGTTGAAATGTTTATCAAAATTTCCTATCGCAATAAAAATGTTATTACTATATAGTTTAATATTTAAACGTTTTAATCTTAATTAATATTTTATCATAGTTAATCTTATTGCTAAATCACGTCGAACAAATTGTTTATGAAAAGGGGGAACTACTCGATAATAAAAATGTATAGTAAAATATTAAAGCTTGGGATACACTTGTGCAGTCGGTGTGATCGCTTCGACTACTTTTTAAAAGGTTTTATAAATCTTGACTAGAGCAGTTGTGTGGGTCTGGTGTGCGCGGCGAGGGGTCCTCATAAGGTGCGAGGTGGTCGGCGGCGAGGTCGCGCGCCACACGCTCCGCTGCCGCCAGCACTCTCAGCAGGTTCAGTCCAGCAAGCTTCCTCAGCTCCTCTATACTCCAACCGTCTTCCATCAGTTCCGCGAACAGCATGGGGTACGTCGACACGTCCTCCAAACCTTGCGGTGTACTGTGTGAATATGCACATTAAACAAGTATGAATAAATGCAATGTCTAGATATCTACTATTATTGGTTTGCTGATGGAGAACCATCTGACCAGAACTTGTAACTTCAATCTTACTATTTTACTAATGTTATAAATGCGAAAGTTTAGATAGATATATGGATTTTTGTTTGATAGAGTTTATAACTTAAACTGCTAAACTCATCTCTAGGAAATTTGGTAGAATAGTCTGGAGGAACACATAGGATACTTCTTTTTGTTTTTTTTTAATTCCACGCAGACAGAGTCGCGGGTGAACGCTAGTTTGTACATAAAGATAAATTATATCAACACTAACAATGCATTTAAACCTGGGGACGTAACCGATTTTCAAGTAGTATTTGTGATCCGTCGTCATACTATTTATTGTTACTCTCTTGTAGGTATTAAACGAAGCGCTTTCATTTTAATTAAAGCGACTACGTAAAATTGTATTCGATCCGGCGAGTCGAGCGTAAAATAGCCTCCGAGCGTTTTACAAAAACACGCGTGTAGTCGTTTTAACGTTTTCATTTTCAATGGATTTATTTCGAGCCAAAAGGAAAGCACACTTACTAGTTAATTCCATCGTAACCGGCGCCGAGGCCTACGCTGTCTACGCCGGCTATGCTACGAATGTGATTTATATGCGCTGAAAGATAAAAAACATTGTAACAAATGTGAAGATGCATTTGAGCACTATTACAAATTGTCGAAAATGTATATTGCAAAAAAATTGTCATTTTTCTTTGAGTCAAAGAGCACACCACTACCACTAACTGTTGATTAGTGCCTAAAATGGTTTGGGTATTAAACAGTTATGGTTAAGAAAGGATTGATCTTACCTATGGCATCCTGCACGGTAGCAGACTCGCTGCAGGTGAGAAATGAGGTATAGAAGTTGACCATAATGAGGCCTTTGTTGTTGGCGAGCATGCGAAGCACGCTGTCGGGCACGTTGCGTGTCACGTTGCAGAGCGCTCGGGCTGACGAGTGCGAGAAGAGAACGGGCGCACGAGACACAGCCAGCGCGTCGCGCATCGTGCGTTCAGATACGTGGGAGAGGTCCACCAGCATGCCAAGGCGGTTCATCTCTTTCACGATCACCTACATCACATATACATAAGTCATGTTGTAAAATACAAAGTAGTGTCGCAAAACGGTGGTTACGTGTTGTTATATTGAATTAAAAAAAAGTTAGTATCTTTAAGAATTAGTGACAACTAATGTATTCATAAACAATACTCAAATCGAAACTCAAATTATAAAAGTAATATTCTTTTTATAACATCCTCAGAACGTCTTCAAAAGATCTCATCTGAAAAATTAAATTTTATGTTACGCTCGGGATTGGCGGTAGAATTAAATGGTCGGGATTTAGTAGGACGAAATTAAATGTAGGAGAAAGCAAGCTTTGTAATGGGCGCTAAATGTTATAAATTTTAAGTTGAGTAGAGGGGCGCGCGGTGTTAACGCAGTACTTTGCACTGGCCAGACTCAATTTACCGACATTGCTGCAGAGCATTCACGCTTGATGAGGTTTCAATCAGCTTAGCTATATTCACCTTTAAATTCCATTTATTTAAGATTAATTTAAATTGTATTCAGTATTAATTTAAAGCAAATACTCTATCAAGTTATATGCTACTTAATTTGTATTTTAACAGTATTAAGACTGGGCTTGTAATTCATTTAATGCAGTGGTTGGCACCACTAAGAAGTAAAAAGAATTTGTTTTAGAAGAAATTGATTTTCTTGGTATCAAGTGCAATGTTTTATTCTCTTTTTAAATGTCTGGTGTATAACTTATAAAAACTTTGTTAAATCTCTATTATTAGAACATTAGTTTCATCTAAGCACTGCGCGATATCGGCGGGAAGTTTAAGACTTTATCTTCTTGAACAACGTGTATAAACTTTATTCTTTTCTCTTTGATGCAGAAGTTTAGTAATGGAGTTACCTCAGATAATATTTCTTCTAGAAATACTAGCACAGAGAATGTTTAATTATGTTCCATTCTAAAAAAATACTTAGCATTACACTAGACTAGAATAAAGTAAAATCTTCATATTAGAGAAGACAATTTACGTATGTATGTATGTATGACTGTAATTTGAACAAATTGTTGGTTTGTGTCAGTTGTTCGTGCAGTAACCACAGCTTAAACGCTTGTTCGTGGGACATTAAGGATTAAAGTACACGCTTTCATTTGACGTGAAAGTAAATTTTATTTTAAAACTCTGTTGAAGTTGATGATTAGAAATGGTCCGGCTTAATATTGGCATTACTGTTACAATATTTACTAATAAATTAATCAAAACTAGATATTATAAGCGTATCTGATGTGTAAGATTCAAAGTTCAACTGTATAATTACATATTCTGATTACGTATTGAAATGATATTAAAATATTGTTTTAAATCGAAGTCGGTATTTGCTGGCATCAAAGAGGAGGCGGTACGTGCCGCATTAATCATTCCAAGTTTACCGGCGAGCCGAGGCGTTTGTCTGAGCGCAATGTAAAGTAAAACTCATTAAATCATGAATACAGCGATTAATGTCTTTAATTACTCTAATAACTTTTAAATTTATTATATCCGCCATTAAGCGTATTGAATAAGATCTTGTTGTTCACTTCCGAAGTGCTCCAATTATTTTCAAACGTACGTAATTGTTGAAAAGTGATTTTTTGCTTTAATATTACGATGTGAGTGGTTTGAACAATGGTGAATGTACTGTAAAGTATCGCTGCACGTGAAACAAAGAGCTGTAAGAGCGCGAGTTGGTACAAAGCGAGATATTGCGATGCCACAGGATGTTTATGATTATGTGCACTCACTCCGCAAGACGTCTCAATATTTACGATTTTCTTTTTACTACATACTTCGATATTTCTTGCAATGCAACACTATTGATTTATATGACATAGGAGCATTACATCGGAACGTACAGTCGTTACTTAGGATCTAAACTTCATTCATCTACTATAGCGTTGTCGTTTTATGGACAGGTTTCGGATAAATTGGTGCTGCAAAACGGTCCGAGTTGGAAGCAATCACTTTATTTGTAGTTTTGTTGTTATTAGAAAAATAGATGAAACTTTTTGGTACATCCTTTTATTAAATAATACATAATCAACAAATGTGTGATTTTTTAAAGAAAAAAATACGTAAACCCAACATTGCTTATTAGAGTCTTTAATATTTTCAGTTATTTTTGAATGAGTGTTGAAAAGATTAACTTTTTTTAATAAATTACAATTAAGTTGTCATACTAAGATGAAACATAGATACTCGCTTATTGCAACAAACCAAATACTTTAAGCCAAGCTCAAAAGACAACAAAGTAAATCGTGTTTAGGCAACTGTAATTCGATTGCAGGTGAGGCAAATTTCACGGTACATTACTCACTTTGCCAAAGGGAGTAAGTCCACCTCTTTGTGAGGGATCAGTGCGGTCGGCGGAGGCGCACTCTGCCCACGGAGTGTCGCAGGTGGACGTCAGCGTGAGGTAGCGCACGCCCACTTGGTACAGGGTTCGCAGCACGCCGAGGGAGCCCCCGATTGCATGCCCACCTTCCACACCCACAAGCGAACAGAGGCGATGGTTCGTGTGCGCAGCTATTATGTCTGTAACAAATTTGAGTTTAATATACATTCAAAACGTAAACGTTGAGTGTAGATTCAAAACTTAAACGTTGGTAGATAAACCAACGTTAAAATTGGTTTTGTTTATAAAAATGATAAAATAATTGAAATAGGAATCATAAAATGGTAATAAAAATGTTTCACCGATTTCAGTAAATAGAATATATATATAGAAACGAATTAACTGTGCTTCATCAGATTTAAAGAGGGTTTGTGTGATTTGTGATTTGAACGATTTAAACGTATCCGGGGAATAGGTGAGTGACCTATTATGTAAAATAATTAGTCAACAGTGGGCAGCAGCGGGTCGGGCCGGCGATGCCCCGGGCTTTCTCCGCCGTTTACCGCCGGCCCACAACTTTGCCACTGGCCGTCAACTAATTAAATTCATAAATAACAAAGGGTTAATACATTAAGGACGGCTTCCGCAAATCCCATCTGTTTTTTTACAACCCATGAAATATTCAAGAAGTTCGTCTTAACACTTACATAGGACGAAGCAACGCTAAAAAAAGTAAAGCCCTGTTCATGACTTGCATTACAATTACCGAGTCCCGGGCTTTTTGTTAAGAAGTTTTATGAATTTAAAACAAATACTTAATAGTATGTAAATTGTGAGGTTGAAGGCTCTGTGGTTAAAAGTTCAACTAGCTGTCGTGTCGCAATCGACGATTGATTCTCATCAGGGTTTAAACAACAATCACTATTAAATTCTTAATCTGGGAGTGTTGACAAATTTTGTTTTGTGATGTTTACCTAATTTTTTGTGATTGAAGTTGCTTTACAAACATGAATAACGTGGAAAACAGTTTTTATCATGTCAAAGTATTGAATGTTTTTCTTGTTTTTGTCCGAACACTTTTCCTGAAGAAAACTGTATAATGCACCATTAGCTGTGTTACAAACATGATTACTTTGGAAATTGCTTTTGCTTTTTAATCAACCTGCAATTAATAAGCAACAAGTTTAAAGATGAGCTCTAGCGGGAAACTTTGTGAAACACCTTTCGCTTTAAATTTCCTACCACTGAACGTAGGGTTACAGAAATTATTCTCTGTTATAAATTATTTTAAACTTGTTTTGTGTATTTATGCATTGAAAGATTACAAAAGTCAAGGCTTATTGGTACGTTTTGAGGTTGTTTTACAGACTTTATAAATAAAGTCTTAAGGAAGTTATACGATTTTTTTTCAATACTGCTGAAGGTAATGATTTTCATGCTGTTCCGAATCTTACCATCAGCAGACGTGCAGAGCGTGAGTTGTGGATGGTACTTGTCGGTGAGTCTCTGTATGAGGTCTATTTGCTCGAAGGTCAGTTGCACGGCGTCCCGGTGCTGCGCGTCGCACGGCACGTACGCTGCCCAGAACTGATAACACACAAACAAATAACGGTGGAAGAGTCCGCTGAATCTTCACGAATGTGACGACTCGCCCGGTGTAATACCACGTCCACAAAGAAGACAGGCATGAAGTCGAAGCAATTCCGCGTTTCGTCAGTCACATTGCATTGTTGTACGAGTACAAGTATAAAAAACTAAGATCCTATTTCCACGTAGCGAGTAGTCGTGCGACTATGTTCTGCGGACAGATAATGGAGTTGCGTGACTTATTTTTACTGGCCCGTCCACTACTGTTATAGAAAATAGACAGTCTCTTCCAGACGGGGTTGTTTAGTCAGAAAGTGGAAATAGGAACTACGAACGTCTTAATGGAAATTGTTTTTTGCTGTTTCCCCAAAATTATTTTTGTAATCAACAGGAGCAATATCTAAATAACTTGGTTTAAACCAACGCATATGACAGCATTGCTCTGACATACACGATAAAATAGTACGCACGGGCTGCATCAGTCCGTAGTCGGAATATGAAATTCGCTTTCATCGGATGCAACGACACGTATGTAATAGAAAACGTGAGCTCTCCCGGTTAACGACTGACTTTTTTTTAATTTTCCATTTAAAATTGTACAACAATGTTTGCGCTTGAAGGTTGACATTATCATGTATTCAGCATGTTTGTCTTTCGTTGTATTATTTTGTTGTTTAGAATATTTTATGTTGTCCCAAGAATATGCTTATTACTTTTTATTGTAGACTTTGATATTGAGCAAAAACGTATTGACAAGATTATTAAGGTCGTAAAAAATATAAAATTGTGATAGTATCTATATTTTGAGGACTCTTATAAATAAGTTCTTAGAAAAGTAACACTTAAAAAATGTTATTTTCATTTTGCTACAATAAGGCTGTTGGTCTTCGGCTATATTTGAACCACTTTATGATTTGAATACTAAAGATCGCATCATTTTAAGTGTACTTTAAGTTAAAGTAAGTTGTAAATGGCGAACTATTGACTAAATATTCTTGACAAATATAATTATTCTTCCGAGTCAAGAATTATTAGTAACTAACTAACTAAACTAATTAATTAATTATAATCTGAGGTTTTTATAAAACAAATTTTTTACACACATAATTAAAAAAATGGAATTATCGTATTGTGTTGAAATAATCATACAAAATATGTTTCAAATTTACTTTAAAACATCATAATCAGGTTACCAGGGAAACATGAAACCAGAATTTATTAGGTCATTGTGTTTCATTATTAATGCTTTCAATGCAGTACTTTGTTTACGAATTTGCGTTAAATCAAACGTAAAATTTTGTTACCTACATATTTTTTATTTATATCACCCTTGTTTCCATTATAAAAGTAATGACAATATACACACAGACTTTGTATCCTTTGATCTTAGATCATTGTGAAAGGGCTCTAACATCTTGTTTCCTTTCGGGTTCTATTTTTTAAATAATCGTTTGTAGTCATAACAAATCGTGATTCAAAGTGAAACAATTTGATTTATAAAATGAATTATTAATAATCTTTAAAAGTAAGTATTGAAACGATTATAAAATCGAGTATTGTGAATAGAAATTTTTAAAAGTCTGTATACTATGTAGCATTCTAACAGCGAAAGGCAAAAGAATAGCTCAATCAATTTTGTATTTCAACCTGTCGACACCAAACTAAAATGTTTTCACGTTTCGAATTTTTCTATTCGCCCAAGGAAGTGTTCAATTTACACATTTTACAATACTCTAAATTGTATGTGATATTCTGTTACTAACATATTTATTGCAATGAAAATAAAATAACATTTCCAACGCGATTTGCAGCATTATCGTTACCAATGTACAACTGAAATTAATAAGATGAAAACTCTGAAAATGGAAGTTTGAGAGTAGCCCCCATAGCAGACAAGGTAAGAAGTAAAAGGTTAGCATGGTATGGGCATATTATGAGGAGGCATGAATCGCATGTTACAAGGAGAACGTTAGTTATGAGCGTGGAAGGGTACATCGGTAGAGGTAGACCTAGAAAGAGATGGATGGATTGTGTAAAAGGTGACATGATCAAAAAGGGAGTGATGACTGAGATGACGTATGATAGAGTTATGTGGAGGACAAAAACCTGTTGCGCCGACCCTACGGGAGTAGGATAAGGAGATGATGATGATGATATGCTTACTTGTGCTGAAATTCTTCCTTGCTTGAGTCTCGGCAGATCCGTATGACTCCAAGAGCTCGTGGCCCACGGCGCTATAGTTCTTAGATCCTCGTCAAACCTAGACAAAATTTAAAATGTTATAAACGGTTTTATGTTTCTACTTCTTCTTTTATTCAGTCACTAAACTGTTAATTTAGTATGACATTTAGTTGGTAATCTTACTTTGTTAGATTTTGTAGCCTTAACGGCTAATCGGATTTCGATGACATTTGGCATAGATGTAGAGGATAGTCTGGAAGAATAGTTTTTTAAATTCCGCGCGGTTGGAGTCGCGGGCGAAAGTTAGATACACACGCACTTAAATCATTAAGCATTAAAACTATCTTCCCCTTTTCTCGGCTACGCAGCGTCTGCAAGACAAAAGACTTCCATATTCTTAAAGTCTTAAAAAGAAAATTCCTAAATGTAATCTTAGCTTACAGTAGTGAAAATGCATGAGAAAATAAATTTCCAGATATTTCGATTAAAATTAATGATTATGTCCACTTGGAAAATCACTCGATGTGAACGGTTGTGATTGCCAAGATATTATAGCTTTCAAGCGGCAGTTAATCAATTTATTGTTTCATAAAAATACCTTTGACGTCATTATTTCTAAATATATTATGAAAATCACTTAACTGAGCTTTTATATCTACTATTTATTTTCCTATAACTGTTATTGGTAATATCTAAAACAGAGTAAAACAGCGTGACATTAGAAGTGATCAAAGCAATGAAAAGGTTACGCCCTCTTATGTTCTAAAAGAAAATCTATTTGTATTATATCTACGTTTGTCAACAACCAACAGTGTTTAAATATAAACCTTTTTCATACGGAATCTTCAATTATTATTGAACCTAAGTTGCTTAGTGTAATAATTTACACCTTGATTTCAAACATCGCATAGATTCAGTAAAGTTAAATCAATTGGTAACAAAAAAATTGTTAATAACCATGGCATGGCAGAGCGTCTGCGGCTCAGTGGTTTGAACACTTGACTTGTAATCTATGGGCCTTGGGTTCGAATCCCGTGAAGTACCAATGTGATTTTCGATTTTATCGAATTTCATGTGTACATGATTTAGCCAACGTTCCTACATCGAAGGAAAACATCGTGATGCAACCTGCACATATAATATATCAGCGAAGAAATTCGAAGATGTATGTGAAGTCGACCAACTTATTAGGGTAGGCTCCGAGCCCCTTAGTGGGGACATATAGTGAGCTGGTGATGGTGATGATGTGGGTAAAAATCACGAAAGTTTAAACATATAAATCAATTAGTATTATTACCAAATTCTACGAAACAAAGAATAATACAAGAACTACATTCGAAATGGTGAAAAGTAGCATTACATTTCCGTTTTGTTTCTGTTGCTCGATGTTGTCGGGCTAAGCCGCGTATAAACCCGCCCGAGGATCCGCGGCTGGCAACTAGCGGCATTATAAAGGGCTCCTTGCGCCCCGAGAGCGCTGCATATGTGTCACGCGTCGCAACTCATTTGTAATTTTTTGATGCAGCGTACTCTCTCGTCCTATACCAGTTAACTCTACGCTTCTAGCACAATGACTTGCATTGTTGTAACATTTTTAATTCACTGTAAATAGTTCTCTTAATTAGAATAGTGCGTGGGTTTGTTTTTACATGAAAATCCTTAAAATCGTGCAACTTTTTTGTTTCTGTACGCTAACATACATCCTTAGGTTTAATTTTCTTTAGTAAAGTGGTGTGTTTTTACGGTACCTTAGTTCTGAAAGCGATTAGAAAAGATAATATAATATAAAAAATTAACGTTAAAAGAATAAATTTGTTTGAATATGCATCTGTTTTCGTGTTTTCTACTGAAATAAATTCAAGATAATGAATTGGATATTTGTTCTAAGTTTTAATACTTAGAATATATCAAGTGTTGTTGGTCTTTATATCGATTAAGTTGAAAACCTGTGCTTATACATAAATTTCAAAGTCAGTTTTTACCGTCAGGGTTTTTATGGTTCATTAATTATATTCGTCATGAGTTTTATCATTAAAAAAGAAGGGACAGCTGTCGCTGTCGTCAGCGCGCACGTAGGGCTGCCACTTAAAATAATTGTTTACGGAGCAAAGATCTCTGAGAGAACTTGTGTACTGTTATTGCGTTTTAACAAATGTTAAAACGTATCCGAATAAACTATGTTATGTAAATATTTTTGAATACAAAATATGTGTTCAGTAATAATGGTGATAAATAAACATACATGATTATAGTTCCAAAATAAGAAAATTCTGTTACGAGACGTATAGAAAGGGGAAATATCCTCTTTGTGTACATCTGTTGATTTAGGGTAGGTAATACATCTGCATTTGCGAATGTCTATTTTCAGCGGTCGCTTTGCTTTTTCGGCGAATTCCGATGATTGCTCGTTTGCTACATTATCATATAAAAAACCTGTTATTTCAGAATCGCTAAGTTCTCACTAAATGTTAGTGCTTTTGTAGGGTATTCCATTTATATAAAACACACACACACACGTTAGTGCACAACCTTGTTATATGTATGTATGTTCTGGAAAGCTAAAATAAACGAAGCCAAATTTTAAATCTCTAGCGCATACGTCTTTAAATATTTTAAAAAAATCTGAGAGAGAATCTCGACTGTATTTAAAAATGCATTTCTTAAATGATTTTTGCGGAGCGAAAGTGGACTACTATATAAAACGTGTACTTGCGTTGTGTTGATTAAATTAATATTTTACGTTAATTTGCTAAAGGAAAATATTAAAAAATTAACAATGCAAATCTTGTACAGATGTCTATTAATTCTGTTAATTCTGTGTCTTTACTGTGTTGTGATTGAATAAAATACTAAGTAAACAATAAACAAATTAAGGTTATAAATAACACATTTTTATCGATATAAAAATTTTATATTTTTAAACATCTCCGCTTACAAGCAATGCAGATGAAACATCATGCGTTTGTAAAATTAATTGGATGCTGTTACGTTTTTTAACGTTAAATAAAAAAAAGAAAAACTCGATGAACAGTTTTTCATTCCATCAAAATCGATTTACGGCTAATTGGTTTGAAATTCAAACTCGTCACTAGATATTTTAAAATGTCCAGAACGGTTATGTTAAAAACTAGGTGAAACCTACGATGCAAAGCAAAATGTTGATAATATGAAAATAATTATAGTGCAAGCAAAAATAATTTAAAACGTTATATTATTTTTAGATTTTTAGGGTTCAAAACTACTACTACTAGCATCCTCAGTGGTGGCATAGAAACGTATTGGGGACAAGTATACAAACAGTTTTATTTATTTTACGTTAAATTGTAAACACCCAGCGGGTTTAAATAGTTCTACTAATAAAAAAAGCTGCTGATAGAAAATAAGGATAGGATTAGATCTTGTAAATAGGCCTATTTGAAATAGTTTGTAATAATAGGAAATCAAGAGAAAAATTTGAAAATGCTCATTACTCGAAGGCAGATCGATACTAATTTGTAAGAATATTGCCTTCTAAAATATATTTGTCGTGATTTATATGTCTGGTTGATATGTCCGCAAATTTGACGATGGAACTTTATGTGTTCGGCGGAGATAAGGTGCTTAATGATGCCCCTTGATATCTAATATTTTTATATTTTTATGCCAATGTAAAGTTAATTAAGATATCTAACTTTTTATAGTTTAAGGGAATAATAAGCATTTTTTAATTAATTATTGTACCAACTCTCGGAAAGAATTCCAAATGTATGTTTTCAATTAATTTATAAGTAATCTTTTTGGTATATTTAAGGTTTTAGTCTTTGTTGTGAAAGGAAATTTCTAAGTAAGTCAACGTAATATAAAATGTCTACATTATTCACAGTTACTATATACAATAAGAAATACAAAACAGACTAATTGCATAGTCGATTGTGAATGACAAAAGCCGCAAACGAAGCTCAATAGAAAAGCGTTAATAGAAAATTACACAGGATTTCCATGTTCGTTAAGAATTATCACTATTTGAATTATCTTATATTTGCATGATTGTATTTATTTCTTAGTCATTAACCATAAAGGTAGTAATATTGTTGAGCATATTTTTACTAAGTTTGTAAACAAAAGCATGATGCTTTTTTTATACCAATAATATTGATAATGAAATAAAAATTTAATACATACCTGAAATCTTTGATTCGATTATGAAGAAACTTTCGTATGTTCCAAGGTAAGTCATTGTGTCCGTCTATCAATGGAGTGTCGTGTAGCAGCCGCTCAGCGAGGCGTAGTCTTTCATGCAGGGGCGCGCCAGGCGGGGCCCGCAGCGCCAGCGGCCCGGCCACACATGCAGTACCCGCTACTAGCACCAAGATCGCAACGCAACACCATCGACGATGCCATACTGAGAACCCTGATTATAGAAAACATGATATGTAGGTTATTGTAATTTATTCAAGGTAATCTTGACTTACGCTTTTGAGAGTCGTGAAATAGATTTCGAGTGGTAGGTTCTACACAACAATAAATCTAATAGGATCCAATTATTTAAATTATTTCAACTACAAAAGAATAAAAAGGCAAATTTGATAAAAAGTTTAAAAATAGGATAATTTCAACAATATATATATAATCATATTTTCAACTTTAACAAAATTATGCTTTGATAATAATAGCACTTAGCATTGTTTTGTCGTTTTACGAAGTTTTATTAAACATACATATTTGACGTATAACTTTAAAATTTTAATTTTTGTTTGTTGTATTACTTATTTAAAAGTTTACTCACATAGTACTCTACATATTAATTTATTTTGTTCTTATATTTTAAATTATTGTTTGAGTACGAAAGTTTACGAAAAAGCTAAAGAAAAGTTGTTTATTGTTGGAAAATTTGTAAAATTTTCATTGATTCAACAATAAACTGATAATTATATTTACATATTAATACCCTCAAATGACAGAAGCAATTTTCATTTCTTAACATAAGACGAAATTGCTGAACCTAACGTTAAATTTTGTCTGATAACTGTGGTAGAAGCGCTATTTGCAGACAAATCTCAAAATAAAATGGTTTTTGTATCATGCAGCATTATAAATATTGAATCAATAATTTTTAATTGGTTCAATAAATCATTTAAATTAAACCAAAACGCTCGTCGTCTAACGTTGATCCAACACAACAAGATTATGTTAATACTTATTAGTCCCGCAATTTACTAATTTCGCAATGTGGTTTGTTGATTGACTGAATGTTCACAAACCGCAACATAGGCGGTAATTAACGCCTGTATATGAAAGTTATGAATCAACGAAGGTCATTAGTTCTATTAATATATGTATTACAATTGTGACAAAACATTTATCTGTTCGCTTAACTTAAGTTAAGCTATGCTTTACAGTGCATTTTTTATTTGATCTGAAGGTATAGTAAGAAAGGTAAGTAGGTATATATATTATGATAATTAACGGGAATTACGAAATGAATATGTGTCGACTAACGTGAAGAGTTGGCAGTGGTTGTTGAGCTGTGGCTAGTGGTCGAGGTGGTCCCGGTTGGCAGCCACTGGCCCGCCTTGCAGGCGACGCACGCCGCACCCCGCCCGTTCTGACCACGCTCCGTCACATCCGGAGCGGGCGCCGTACGTTTTTTTCCCTGTAATGTTTCAACTCATTAACATTTCCCCCCCAGCACTTCAAGGGTTAACTACCTTACATTAACTACCGTGCAAAATAATTACCAGTTAAGTGAGCACTATGAATAATCTATGAAATTAACCTCAAAATGTTAAACACTCACTTGGCTCGGTATTCAACATGTTTGAAAAAAGATGTAAGAGCACTCGACGAGAGTGAGTGCTTTAAAAATGTAAAAGTGGATTCAAATCCCGATTTTGTTAAAGACGCAATCTGTGACTCGGCCGAGATAAAAGAGTCATCTATAATGTATGTATTCGATTTCCGAGGATTCTCTTTTCAATATTTAAATACTTGAACCCTTTTCAGTTATATGTTCGTGGTATCAATCTTCCCTGTCGATCAAAGACCGCATTGATTAACTCGCTCTTACTGTTTGAGACCAAGTTCTTAAGAGAATATTAAATTAAATGAAAAGATGTTGAGTTTATACTGTGTTTTATAATATAAAATAATTTATATCTTATTCACGATGTTTTTACGATTACTTCGAATCTGCCGCGTACATTATTCACTTGTGTGACAGCGAATAACCCTATAAAGTTTTCGTTATACACTGTACAGACAATACAATGGAATTTTATACGCTTTTAGGTGCTTATATACGTTATGAATAATCCGTAGACAAGAAAAGGGACACCCAGTATTTGGCTAATATTTTGGCAGGATTATAATCTGGCGTATTGTGAAACGAAAGTCAAAGGAATAACAATTAGTCGCAAAATAAAAGAAACTTGCTCAAGCTTTTGCGGATTTACAGAAAGAGATTATTTATGTTTATTGTATAATATCGTGAGCAATTATTGGGTTCTTTAAAATATCACTTAAAATACATAAATCTTGAAACTATATTTCATCTCTTCTAAAAATATAAATCAAGCAACTGGCAAGGGTAAGAAGGAAGGTTATCCGATTCAAAATTGATTTATAATAAAATTACGTTCATTAACTCTCTCATTACCCGTTAACTTAAATCGTTTCTTCACGAACATCATGAAATATTTTAATGATCATTTTACAAAATCAATTTCAAATTAGCTTTTCTTTTTTGAATTAGCACATTGAATTAAGAAATTAAGAAAAGGATAAGTTAACTTCAAACTTATCCTTTTCTTAATTTCATAGTTAAAGCAAACATTTTTAAATTATACTGCTTTATCAATATCAGGCAAATTAATACCAGGATACTAAAATTTACTTAAACTTACGTGTGTATCATAAAATATAGAAGGAATCCTATTGTCTCGCCGCGAATCGCAAGTACATTGCGCCTGCACAGGCCGCGGCACATTCCTGCAGCCCCTGTCGATGCTCACAAAAGACTGGCCATCGTCGTTTATGATTATATCATTACTGGCACTTCTCGAGTCGAACACATTATCGTCCCTCGACCAAGAATCCGCTGTGACCCTGTCTCTAAACCGTTCACTTGCAAAGTCGTTGTAAGACATCTGTCTTCTTATACTTCTGCATCTACTACGATTATCTAGAGTAGAGAATTTCTTCACCTCTCTAACAGGAGATTGTCTGGATACAATATCGTTGTTTAAATCAAACTTTTTAAGTTTCAAAACTTTATGTCCACCAGAACTAGTTTCAGCGCTGTCGCTGTAATCTCTCAATCTATCAAAACATTGATCCACATTCGAGGAAAAGTTCGCGTAGGTTGTAAAGTTTTTTAGATCATCCTTCGATTGCATACTCGAAGATGAAAACGTTCCGCTTTGACTGTTACTTTTCCGCTGTGACTTCTCAACGAGAGACAACATGGATAGTTTCTTGAGAGAGCTCGACGAGGCCGACGTTATCTCGGCCAGTTGGACCGCGTTTTGATGTTTCTTTGTTATTGCCTCGCCGCCTATTTTTTTCAGATTGGATAACTTTCTTTTTAGTTTTTGCATTAAAGTATTTGTTTGGTCGTAAGCTATAAGTTGCTTGGAGATGTAATTTGAGACCCCGATGGTCCGCGCTTTACTATGCTTTCTGTCCAAACTTCGGTGTGATCCACTCGCGAGGTGGCTACGTCCGGTGTCTCTTTTAATTCTTTCTAAATCGTAGATATTTAGTGTGTGTCCTCTTTGCTTTACTACATCTCGACGATAATTCAGATAGTTGTTTTGTTGCACGTTACAGTTACAAACCAAATCAAATTCGTGTTCAGACATTTGCTTATTGAAACATTGACGCTGAGCCGCGAGTGCGAGACACGCCTCACATTCTACGCCGAGGAGAAGTTCAAGACTTGTGTTTCTGATAAAACCGTCGCTAAAGGTACGCGAACGGAACTGTGTCCCATGATGGCCTAAACGTGAATCCCAGTTGGGCGTGACGCCAGTGTCCTCGGAGCTGCTGGGCCCCTCGACGGCGTTGGCTTCGTCATCCATCATAGTGGCGGCGTCGCGATTCACCTGTATGACCCGGGGCTGGCGAAACACGCGGCTGTCGCTGCGCACTGAACATCGCGAGGGTGAAGGTGACGACCGCTTGAAGTTATCCACTTGGATCATTTTGATGCTTTCTAGTATATTTTATTCCTGCAAAATAAATCTTAAGTTACTCTCAATAAAACAGACGATTTAATATTTTCATACAAACATAATTCGCTTGTTCAAACATTACGAAAACCTATTTATCATCAGTCAAAAGTAGTCTAATATACATGTAATGATATAAACCAAAAAATGTAAATAAGTTATGTATTATCTTTGGAGACAAGTATTATTCAATTGTTTATTCCTGTATTTAAATGATCTACTTTTATTTCTTTTAATATAAGTAATTAATACTTTATCTTGTAAAATTCTATAGCAATAACACCGTTGTCTATACGCACAGGTAGGTATTGCGAAGGTAACTGATCTATGAGGGTACACGTTGAACCCTTTGTCGTTACAATACAATAAGCCCAAGTTGACAGCTGTCAGTTCTAGCTAATTAGAATTGTGAATCAACTAATTGGAAATCGGAGAAATTGATTCAGTAACTTATGACTTTGTAATTAACTTAACTTTAATGTTATATTGTTTACTGTTTTGCTGACTTGTTTGTCCATTCTACGCCGACACTTGGAATGGGTAAATTGTTACTTAAGTAATCTCTAGTGTAAATTTTCTAAGTAAGAACCATTTAATGTAGAACGTTAGCATTTTGTTTTATTTCGATGGTAATATTTGTAATTGTATATTTAGATATTGATAAACTTTTTTTTTTCATTATATCTGCTGTTTGCTACATAGATTTCTCTAGTTAAAATTATTGAAATAATTGAGTTATTTACTTTGATATACTTATCTTGTACATTCTAATATACCCACTTGTTAATTAAAAACAGCGAGCGTGACTTTATTCCTGAAATTAAGGGTGCTTTGTAATTTGTATTTACCACACCATATTTGTTCCCCCTCTTTGTTACGTTCATAGAAACTCAATTAATTTTTGTAAAATTTAATCCGTTAGATGAAAAGTGTTTTAATTTATAAATATATTTAAATTCTTGTTAATTATAAAATATAGTCGTTTTATTAGTGTAACGATATTGTTAATGTTTAAAAAAGACAGCAATAACTCAATTTCCATCACAACAATATGTTTTAAAGTTATATTTGTATTTAAGTATGGTATTAAATACACATATCGGAAAGAAAACTACTTGTACGTTTTAAGTTAATATCCTTGTTTAAAAGGAAACCAGATCAAATTAATGAACTTCTGTTTATACTCCATAGGAATAGGGTAAGTATTGGGTTTCGCGTGTTGAACAAAGACAAACTAAGTTGATTGCACTTTATAAGAAAACAACTCTTGTAATAATATTGAGGTGAGATAGAGTATCAACAAGATATTAGTGTATTTTGTACAAACATTTAATTAACTGATTTCTTGTGTAGTTGGAGGTAATGTTAGTATATAATTGTATATTTCTGCAAATAAAAAAACGCTGTATTTTTTTGTTTATAGTGATCATACACCGCGTGACGTCATTACGTTTTTGGATATGTAATATAATCCGACAAAAAGCGTCTAATGATCAGAGTATGGGGGTGTTCATTCCTGCTTGTTCTAACAAGTTCCCGTATTTTAAATACAAATAATAAAGAGTTAAGATCGATTACAAATAACATTTTTAACTTGAAGTAAATTTAAACGAGTAGAATTGCGTAGGTTTATTTGGCAAAAAATTATACAGTCCAGCTTGATTCTTTTTATGTTTACTTGACTCGCTTTGAATACAAATCGCGAAGAGAATGCGCGAAAAAATTGTTATTCAACAGAAGTCAAGTTGAAACCGTTCATTTTCTTTATTTTTCTTCAATTACATCGTTATTCATTCGTAGCTCGGCGCATCACTGTTGCCGCATTTTCCGGCTTGCTAAAAATTAGCTGGAGGGGCTAAAGGCTCGGATGAAAGATTTCACGACAGAGTTAACTGACAAGAATAAGGCATTTTTCTTTGTTTTATGTTTGCTTGGTAGCGTGCAGTGTATCTTTTGTGACTTGTGCTCGTTTTCATATTCATTATCAGCAGATTATACGAGCGGCGAGTGGGGTGTGGGCGGCGAACAGGGTTGTGTCGTCTCGACAACGAATAACGGCGCTACTATTTCAAGATTTGCGAATAAAATTCCTCTTGATTTATACCTCATGAGAAGGTAAGCAATGCTGAAAGCTGCATTGAATAAAGTCTGTTTTATGCATTCTTTATTTTCTTAACTTAATATAAGACAAAAGAATTCTGTTCTCTACCTCGATTACATATTTTGTTATCTATTTATGAAGAAGCTTAGATTAAGTATTTTGTTTTACTTTTATAATATGTTGTTGATTTACTACACTTAATCATAATCAAAGTTCATTAAGAGTATTTGATGTATTGTAAATGATGTAGTCGAGTGTACGTATTGTTATTTTTTGAAACGTGACATTCACAAGTTTACGCTTTGAAAAATTTCTTGACGCTAAAATCACTCTCAAAACCTATTTCTCGTTGTATACCGCAATACGTCAGGCCCGTCCAGTGTGAGATTTAAAATTCTTTGGAGAAATATGAAAAATAGCGCGATTTATTCTTGTGTACCTTGATTGATGTATCGTATAATTCTTATAAAAGTAACTTTCTAAGGCGCTAGAATTAGTTTTATAAAACGTATTTATGGTTATTGAATTTCAAACGGTATCACAGATTGAGATAAATCGACAGATACCGACACGACGCGACGTTGGCGTCTTCATGTTTATCTATCAACAATTAATATTTTAGAAAATTGGTTAAAAGTAAGAAAAATCAAAATTGTTTTGTCAACTGTTATTTTCTGATCGTGTTGCGCGAATCTCGAAAGCGGGTTAGTTATTTGTTTCTTGAAATATGTATGTACAACGATTGTTTAGTGTTTTAAAAAGTTTGTTATTTGATTAAATTTAAACCCCCTCTAAAGACTTTTTGTCACGAACCTGTTTTACTAAGGATTCTTTCAAATGTTTACTTGATATCCATATTTTTTCCACGTCCTTTCAGTTTTCAACAGTTAGTAAAGTTAAGAAAAAGTCAAGTAAAACTTTTATATGGGCCGATATTTTATTAAAACGATCTTCATTTTGTAAACGTTCGTCGCAATGGGCTTCTGTATGTGAGTAATATAACTTTTCCAGTAACAAAGAATTGTTTGTTTTTCTTTCATGTGGTGTTCTTGAAACCGGAAACTGTTTGTTGAGCCGACTTAACCCCGTATTTAATTGTAGTCTTTTTAATATTAAAGCTGCGAGAAAAGTTATTAAATATGAAAAAGTTCATTTAAAATATTAATTTTTTCGCGTACTAATTTAAACCCTATCTCACCCACCATGTGATGATTATCTAATCATAAACTCTTATTAGTTAAATATACAGTAAAAAGTTAATTTGCCTTATTACTTGACTACTGCTTTTTAAAAGTATATTTCAATAATCATTTTTTTTAAAGTATCAAGAATATAAAAAAAATATTTGATTTGGTTTTTTTAACCGACTTGAATATTGAAAAAAAGTGATTGCACTACTTATTTTAATAATTAAATAATAAATTTTTGAGTTTTTAAAATTCCCTACATTTCCCAGGTTAAATCGCCGAAGTTTTGCGCGAAAGCGTTACACGTATTCCTTTTGTAAATTTTAGTAACGTTTTATGGTAGTCATTTATCATCGGTCTTTATAAAAACATGAATTTTAGGACGGATTCGCTAATAAAGACGGAAATGGAACGATTGACGTCCCTTCAAAAATAAACGATGGTCGTAACGCCTACGGCCTGATGAATGGCTTAGGTCAAACCAGTTCCGGCCCTGGATTGATTATGAAAAAAATTCAACCGGCGTAAAACGAACTTCGTTACGATGTCATAGAAATTGCAGATTTTGCTTTAATAAACACAAAAAAAAACAGAGGGAAAAATATCGAAGAATTTATATTAAATTAACTAAAAATATGTTAATAGCCGTAAAATACACCAATTAAAACCTATGTAATATACAAAAATATTGTCGGACACGGGGACAGAAATATCTCAAAGGTTTTCAATAGGTTACAGCGTAAATTAATGGCAATCCTGTTGTTATAAGCAATACAATGCTCTTATCATATTAGATGTAATAGAAATTTAGAAGTAGATGTTGAATTGATAAGATAGGAAAATTAATTCAAAGTTGTAAATAAAAGTACGAGACAATAATTGTACTTACAGAAATGTAGTTAGTCTGGAATAAGGTGCCACCGGAAAAATAAACGTAAGTGCTAACCGTTTAATAACTAGACAATAATTAAATGGCTTACGAAAATTTAAACAATTTAACATAATAAGTCTGTTGAAAAATGGAAATGTTTTACAATTTACCTGAATATGATAAATATCTGCAGTTCAGTTTACAAGCTGAAGATATATTGGTGGCGTTCAAAAACTCATTGTACCGTGCAATCTGGGATATGATCTCGGGTCTATAAACGTTCCACTAAGCCTTCTAAGTACGAGTAGGTGTTGATAGCCGCGCTTATTTCTTGCCCGTAATAAAATAACATAATAAATTACGCTCACTTTCTTAATATAATTGGGAATGCTGATTACGTCAAAATGCCTATTAAGAGAGCTTTTTTCGACGAGATAAGAGGCTTATGAAACCTACTAATTTCATTTTTCTTAGAATCCGCCGCTGAAATGCTCGGATATACCCTGTTAAGGGATTTGTTTTCTATCATCGATCCTTGCTGTACAGTAGTACGTAAATTGTAAATTTCCTCAGCTTACAAAGTCACCGACCAATCTTATTAATATTATGGATGCGCAAGTTTGTATGGATGTTTGTTAGAGTTTGTAGCCTAAAGTGCTGAACGAATATCGATTAATTTTGGTTTAGATGTAAGGAATATTCTGGAAGAGCAAATAGTCTTTTTACTTTTGTTTGTTTTCAGTTCCACGAGGACGGATTCGCGTGTGAAAATTAGTATGAGATATTTGACATTTAATCCTCACAACACGTGAAA